ACGAGTTTATTGAGCAAAATGTGATCGTCACAATCTAACGCCCTGCTGAGATCGCGAAATATCCCAACAGGGCTCTCGCCTGCCTCGACAACACAAATTATTGCCTCAAAAAAAGAGTTAATTGCAGTTATTGTTGTGTTTCCATACCTAAAGCCATACTGACTCTAGGAAAGAATAGTCCAGTAGGGGATTTATCCGCCAAATAAATCTAATAGTCTTGGGTTGTTTGTATATTCGATGAAAACTACGGATCGATAGCTTTTAATAATAATTAGCTTATCGGGAAATGGCATCAAACAATGTAGATACAGATACCAACACCATTGTACCATTGTTCCAGTATGCGGTAAGCAATTTAGATATTCGTTTCACATAACAATGTTATGTTTATAGGCATGTCCTTAAGAACTACAATAGATATGCATCCTGGTTGCTAAATGGTAGTAATTCTTAAATTATTATTGAAATGGGATCCTTAAGAGGAATCTCCATCCTGTAACGATCGCGGAAACAATTACTGAAGCAGGAGTGTGACTCCGAACTTCTCACGCATTCAAATAAACCGCTTTTCAAACTACGCATACATATCGCGTGTACCTGTACAAGCTTTAAGAGAAGATTCCTAAGTACAGAGAAAAACAAATTTAGCGAATGGAGAAAAAATAAGTTTCCGATACCAGTGAAGATCATCATCAAATATGCTCCTGTATATTTGCAAGTGCTTATACTTGTCTTTTTATCAAATAGGATCTTGGGAATGAAAATTTGTTTTCATAACGGCTAGTCAAGTGTTTTGTGTTACCGGCCAATAATAATCTATTCTAGTAACATCTCTGCGATGACCCTGTGATACAGATTACTGGTAGTTGCAAAACGGTGTATTCGATTTGCATACATTTCGTAAGACGAACCGAGTCGCGTGACTAAAGTATGAAATAAAGTCGAAAAATCTCACTTTAATAGTCACAAACAAGATTCGGAAAAAACAAGAAAACAAATATTAGATTCAAGGTTGGGGCTTCTCTGAATAAATTAACTATTACTTTTACCTGAGAGAATCACTGTTTTCTCGTTCTGATGGTTATGTTATTGTACAGTATTATTTGAAAATACCGAAATATAGTGGAATCCACTTATAATGAACTTGCTTATAATATAACTAGTGTTATACTGTATTTATTAGAGTTATAAACATGTAGAAAAGTGCGAAACGTGCATTCACTTTACACGAAATCTCAAGCTAATATACGTGACTTCGAAGTTGAGTCATTCATTGTAACAGTGAGTAGATCTGATCAAAAGAAATGTTTTTTTCCTTCACCATTTTTCTGGTAAAACTAAAGTAACAAAGTTATAGCCCTTTAGAAGTTTGAGTACCGCCCTGTCTCAATAATAATATTATGTGCTCGTGTTTAGCAACAAGCCCAGCTCTGCGTCGAGCAAAACGGAAATCATTTCGAACAGTTTTTGTGGCATGCTTTTGGGCGCACAGGTCCGCACTAAAATACTTGTCGGGAGGATACTTATTATACATATATATATTTTTTTTATTTTTACACACATATTTTGGTTTATCTTCCTTCTACAATTATTATCTGAAAATTAACGACTCAACTTCAAAGTACGTGCTCGTATGGCTATAAAAAACTCTCCACTGTGGCAAATATTTGGAAAAAAAACAATTTTGCTGGACCTAGGCATTTTAAAAATCGTGTTTAAGTTTTTTGTAGCAATCGCGGTGCCCCGGTCTTTGGGTTTCCGCCTACGAGCCATCGCTTGAAAAGTAGAGAATCATCCTACCTGACGCCTTTTTTTATATAAGTAGCGACCAAGTGTAATATTTATAGGTAAATATGTGTATATACAAGTACCACCATTCAGAAACACACAACATTAGCATAAGTAAATTTTATGACCTTGTTTGATTACGTTCCGTTTTTACGATATTGACAAATCGTAAAATAAAACTAACAATTGGACCATAATGTGCTACGTGCATGTACCTGATTTGAGCTAACTAGGAAGTTACATTGTAGAAACAGTGACCATCAGAGATTTCACGATCCAGGAACGGAAACAATTGAAAAAATACGTTTTTTTCTGTGGGCTGATTGATTGACAAAAAATTGCAAAGAGCGGAAATCACACATTATCTAGATTTAGATTTGAGACACTTCCGTTCAATTTCGTTCCAAAGGCGTCCCCAGGAGGCGTTCAAGGGTGCTCCTTATCCTTGCTTAACTCGGCAAAAATTGAATAGAAGGAACATTTTTACAAAAATTAACTTATTCATTCACAAGCTGAATCAATATCTATTAGATGATTGCTGTTTCGTGCTCATTAGCAACTCATCATGGGATCGCGCTCCAGAACGCCGAGCACGTTACAGGGCCGTACTAAGAATAAAAAAAGTATGCAAAATTATTGCAGGCATGTATAGGGTTCAAACGTAAAGCTTGGAATTAATGTATTTTTTTAATTTATGACCTGTCTATTGTTGTTTTTAGTAGAAGTGTTTTATCAAGAAATTATACTCGAAATGTGTCGTGAGGCTTTTAAAAAATGTCTTAACACATTAAAACGATAATTGCATATCCATACAAGTATAAATAACCACAGGGACGTCAGTGTGCAAACAGTTAATTTTAATATTAGACTAAAAAATGAATAGTTAGGTGGAGTTGAAAGAAAAAGGATTTGAATACATAATAATATATACTAAATATTATACAAAAATTTATTGCACACACATTTTACTTCTAAAACCGGAAATACATATACTTATTTGAAAATGAAAATCATTCTAGATCTGAGGCCGTGGAACTCCCACTGTCATCAAGATTTATGATTAACGTGTGTATGAATGATACCGTCTAATTCCCACATTTTAGGTTCGATCATTTCTTTTAAATGCTGATACATTTTCCCACTTATTCGGTGTTATTCTTTGTATAGCATCATGAAAAATATTTTTAAGGTCAACAAATTTAGAACATTTATTTTCTGCCGCAACATATTTTTTTGTCTGCCCAAATGAGCCCAATCGGACTGAGCTCACAATGGTAAGGAGGCAGTCGTAAATCAGTTTTATTTTGTTTTTTGGCCATTTCATCAATTATGTTCAGGTTGTATTTATTTTTATGCGTCTTGACAATTTGTAACAATTCTGCCTTATCCGAATATCAATCTTTTTATTTTTAAGCCATCCTTGAAGTTCTGATTTTTTTGTTGAAGCTGTTGCAATTTTCTCTAATTTTCTCGTGTGGAATGAAGCATTATCTAATACTATAACCGAATTATCTTCAAGCTTCGGTAGAGTATTTGAGAACCAATTTTCGAACGAGGTTCCATCCATTTCTTCATGGTAGTCTCCCGTTTCTTTGGATTCTAATGCCCATAAAGCATCGGACACAAATCCATCTTCATTGCCATCGTATACATTTTCCTAAAAATAATTCATTTTGCACACTTTAAAACCGCTCCTATAGAAAGCATTAAAAACCCAACAAAATGATTGCTTGAATTATCTCGATATAGTTTAAGCATGTACAAAAACAAAAATAAAATATAATTTTAGTTGAAATTCCTCGTCTTACAAGAATTGAAAAATATGTATGCTTTGCAAACAGTGTCCTGAACACTTGAGTCGCTCCTTCCTTGCATTTCGTATTAATAAACGTTGATAATTATTTGTTTTTCGCTAACGCTAAAATGAAGCCTTTTAGCTCTTTTTTAGGCGGTGTGCAGCTTATATCAACAACTTCATCAGCTGTATCCGTATCAGACATTTTGAGTTCTAGAAATTAAACTGACAAATCTAATAAACCCACAGTAATACCTGTATAAATCTGATGCCAACTCTGTACTGTACGGCCAGCCACCGGCATACACGGTCGTATCGTCTCCCACTCCACCCTCTGGTTGGTCATTGGTTTTGTGTAAGGGCTCCACCTATTCTGCCCAATAACAGTTGAACACTTGAAATATACTCGTATCAGTGTACTGATTACGCGATGATCACTGTTTTGGTTTAGTCTCTTTCTTCGATACATACATAATACGAACAAGTGTGTATGGTCATTTGAAAAACTCAAAATACAGTGCGCAGGTAGGCGGAGAATCTAACGATCTCCACCTACAAATCCAGTACTTCTAGATGATTTGCTATTGAGCACGAAACAGCGCTGCCTGCGGTGGTTACAGAGACGAAAAGCAAACATGTCCATTTCAATAGATACTGTACAGCCAATGCAAACAGTTTTCTGCATAAAACAAAATACAAGGAACTGTAACCAAGTCATTTTTGAAATACGGTTTAGCACAAACCAGCTGTTGCCGTTTGTTGTTTCTCATGGGTTCATTTGTTTCAGAGGCATAGAAATTTCTTCTCGAGCATAAATCTGTAGATGAATGACCTCGAACGTTTTATGTCCTGTACTCTGTATACGTAACAAAGAACTATTTACGGCCAGAGGCGGCTCTACTTGGTTTTTTTCACATGCATCTGATCGCGTGTATCATGTACATTCTATTATTTAGTGAACATTTGCAAAACTATGCGACATGCTAAATATCAATTTCCTTTATCGGTAGCTATATGTGAACAATGCTCTGTACATCGAGGAAATTTGGGGCGCATAATTTGAATAATCTTGAAGGGGATTTAGGTGTGGAATTGGTGAAAAATTAGCTACCCGGTCCACCCGTGAATCCGAGCCCTAAAATGACATCAAATTCAGAATCTACGTTTTCAATCCGATTTTTGAACTGCCTTAGATTAGTAGAACTGGGAAACGTCTCCTCTTGTAGATTCTTCCACAATCTCGATACCCTAGAGATAAAATCCCATTTTCAGGCTGATTCGGTTTCAGCGATCCAAAAGGCCAAGCTAATAAAGGCGTGTTAAAAATGTCTTGAACTAGCAAAGCTAGATTTAAAGGAACACCCTGTACAAACGCACAAGAGGCACCAATTCAATGTAATTGACACAATTTTTTCTTTCAGGATCCGGCCCCAAACGCCACGTGAGATCATTGACATGTGTCACGTGTGCACAACTGTCACTCCCGGTGAGCCTCAAGTCACGCTTGGGAATGACAAGGCGTTCACCTACAATTACGTCTTTGACACGGAGTCCAGTCAGACTGAAGTTTATGATACATGTGTGTCATCTCTAGTCGAATCTTCCCTTGAAGGGTAAGAAGCTATTATCAACCGGCTTGAGCTCGATTTCGACTTTCTTTTAACAGTTGGGGATAAAGCAACTGACTTTATACAGGATGAAAAATAGGCGGAGATATTTTAGAGGGTGATTCCTTGTTAAAAAAATAAAAAAAGTTCCTATGAACATCGGGGTCCGGAATTTTTTTTATTAATATCTTTAAAAATATACACTCGATCCTGTTGAAATTTGGCAATATTATTTGCTGTATTAAGAGGCTAATTTAGACCTAAATAGATTAAAATTATTAGGGTCAGTGACGTCCGGGGGGCATGTTAGCGAATATTATTGGTGAAAATGTACGCCACTGCCTTTTTTGCAACTTAAACTTTTGTTGTTTCATTAAGCATCTAAGAGTACAATTTCTTTGCCTCTTGTATTTTTTTCGTATCTCACTTCGTTTTCGAGAAAAATAAAAAATAAAAACCGTTTTATTGCATGTCACTGGACAAAATTGGTTTAATAATTTTTGCTAAAAAAATCACAAGTGCATTGGAAAACAAAAATGTAAAATGGCCTCTTAATGCAACAAATAATATTGGCAAATTTCAGCAAAATCGAGTAAATATTATTAAAAAATATATCACCATGTATCTTGTAAAAAAATCACCCTCTATTTACTAATAGGAAGACAGAATATAACTAGACTCTTATGATTTTCAAACGCCCTGATTAAAACAAAAATTATATAAGTAGCGTATTTTACAAATAAAATTTGGCCTGATCTGTATTTTTCCAGGTAAGGTATTTGCAAAATGGTCAACATCAAGTCTATACTAACTTTGAACACGAAGTATGATGTTCTTGGATTTTACCTTTGGCGTCACTTTCAAGGTTATTTCAAGGTCAACTTTAGTTCTTTATGTGCGCCCTTTTGGATTCCGGCATCGAATGAACGTAAAAGTCTACGCCCGAATATGTTTTAAAATCTAAGATGAAGGTCACTTCAAATCAAATGAAGGATACATATGGTGGCTAGGGGAGAATCCTATAAATTTGGTAGAAATTTTGATGAAAAACATTAATAATCAACATTTAATAAGGATCTCAGTTGTAACATTGGATTCAACCTTGAACTCACCTTCTCTTTGTTACCGTGAGTGGAAGATTTTGCGTTCTAATGTTCCAATATGTTCTCATGTACTATTATGACCTTGAAGGTGCAGCTGAAGGTCAAATCCAAGATAAAAATTGGAAATTTTTAAAGGGCTGACCATAATGCGGCCAAACTTCTAGGAATTTTCTCTAGCCTCACACATTTGACCTTAGATTTTAATACATATTAGCTGAGACCCGTCCCTGATACAATATTTGTTTATTGTGGCAGGTACAATGCCACTGTCCTTGCCTACGGTCAAACTGGTTCCGGCAAAACGTATACCATGGGTTCGGGTTTCGATGTGGAAGTAAAGGAGGAACAGAAGGGCATCATTCCAAGAGCGATCCGCCAGCTATTCGACGGTATGCATTCCAGAATTGAGAAAGCACGAGAGTGCGGTTCGATACCGCCAGAATTCAAGGTCATGGTGCAGTTCATGGAGCTGTACAATGAAGAAGTTATTGATCTGTTCAACCCTGCATACAGCAAAGTAAGTGAATAACCCCATATCACATGCATCTAAGATCTAAGACATACAATAAGCTACCAGAACGAATAAAAACTAACACGCATTACAGTTTTATATTCGCGACAAATAATTTATATTGTAAACGCATTTAGAAATATTTTTCCATTATTATTCTCGATACCAATGCCTGAAGAACTGCTTAGATAATCGTGCGTTATATACATCTGTAATACTTATTTCGAAATACTTGTCAAAAAAAAAGATATACAGCGTTTTTCAAATAGGCCTCCCTCCAGTTAGCAAGCTGAATTTCGGGGTAGTAGCGTAAATGTGACAGATGAAACTTTCAAGATAGAAAATTTTCCTTAATAGAATGACGGGTCACGTGATCCCTCATTGTCAGTATCATACAGTGTGGCCAATATACAGGGTGACGTCGAAGTTGAGTCATTTATTTTAACAGTGAGTAGATCTGATCAACAGAAATGTTTTTTTCCTTTAACATTTTTCTGGTAAAATTAAAGTAACAAAGTTATAGCCCTTTAGAAGTTTGAGTACCGCCCTGTCTCAATAATAATATTATGTGCTCGTGTTTGGCAACAATGGATATAATCCGCCTTATCGGTTCATCGCATCGGAAACAAAAAAGCGAAAGAATTTGAAACGCTTATCACGATGTTTTTACTACAATTTTATTCAGTTGTATTCAGTCGGTAACGCGTGAGTGAATAGTGGTGTTAGTTGCGTGGCTCAAACGAAATAAAAAATGGCTCATGTTTACGAAAATGCTGAACTTGTGGACATGATTCTTATTTACGGGGGGGGGGAGTCTTTACAAAATGCTGCCGCGGCATCACGAATTTATGCGGATCGGTTTCCTAATCGAGTGCAACCAACCCCTCGTAATGTAGTACAAAGGGCTCGTGAATCAGGTGACTTAAGACCTCACAGGGGAGGGCATGCTGGTGCTTCAAGACCGCACGATCAAATACAGGTCCGCACTGAAATACTTGTCGGGAGGATACTTTATAAAACAAGGTAACATTTTTTTTTATTTTTACACACTTATTTTGGTTTATCTTCCTTCTACAATCATTATCTGAAAATTAATGACTTAACTTCAAAGTTGTAGTAAATCTTTGAAATAAATATAGTATTACTGAGTGATTTTTTCTGTCACTAACATGTAGACTCTTACTTTGAGGAATATATTATACAGAAAACAGTATTTTTTATGTTTCATACACTTTTCTGGCCTATTTGCATACAAGAGTTTGCCATCAGCTACGAGTACATACCTCATGTTTATGGTCATTTGAGTGAACAACCATTAAATCTTTGTCAGTATCTGCATAGAGTTTTCATACATGCCTGTAACTCGAAAGCTCTTACCACCCTCTCAAGGCTGTGATAGAACAAATGGTGCGTAGATCATTGTAAAAAAGCCATAAAAATAGATTTATAATAAACAGTTATTGTTTCAACAATACAGGTATTTTTAGCTATTCTGTGTCGATATAACAACAGGTTGAAATAGGAAAGCATGCAATAAATACTGCAATGTTTTTGTATAAATGTGCAAGAAAGCTTAAACCTCCGTTTATTTTGTCGAATAATTAATAGTACGATCTTTTAACACATATTTTATTCGTTTTTCGACATAGCCATGATAGTGTCACCTAAACTTTGTATTATGCAATATTTGAATACAAATGAGAAATGTTAAATATAGCTCGTTATGTAACTATTCTTCTGGAATACCTCTATGATATCGATACATTGGTGAACCGCTTTCAATGGTACCAAAATACCTGTCTTCAGCAGCTGCGGCTGCTACCCTTTGCCAATGGAATAATCATTATTTTAGATGACAAAAAGTATTTCACTTTGAGTAATTTTGAAATAATGGGAAACGGCGGATTTATAACGGTTAACCAACGTTAGGATATTACTCCCCTTGAAAATGGTAATGGACCAGTCCAAATTGCCCAAATCCGAATCCTGTTAAGCCGCGTACAGACCGAAAATCCAACGCCGCGCATACGAATGCAAGCACATGTGACGTTCGCGTTTGATGTTGGAATCAACCTCTCTTCGATGTACCGATCAAGGAGCGAACGCAATCGCACTCGAACGCCGACCTTGGAAACCGTTGGCTTATGTTGGCTCGCGCCGTACTCACCGATTCGAACACCTCCGAATCTGTAACCACATGCGCCTTGGCTTGCGTTGGAATCTCGGTCTGTACGCGGCTTTTGAGTTAGTCCTAAGCCGCGTACAGACCGAAAATCCAACGCCGAGCATACAAATGCAAGCACGTGTGACGTTGGCGTTTGTTGTTGGAAGGTATTGGAATGCGTTCGTCTTCACGTCGTCTACACCTAAATTTAGTGCAACAAATCTTGCCCGGTCCAAATCAAACCTCCCTTCGATGTATTGAGCAAGGAGCGTTGACTTATGTTGGCTCACGTCGTACACACCTCCAAATCTGTAACTACATGTCCCTTGGCTTGCGTTTGAATCTCGGTCTGTACGCGGCTTTTGAGTTAGTGTCAAGCCGCGTACAGACTGAAAATCCAACGCCGCGCATACGAATGCAAGCACGTGTGACGTTTGCGTTTGATGTTGGAAGGCATTGGAACGCGGTTGTCTACACCTAAATTTAGTGCAACAAATCCAAATCAAACCTCCCTTTGATGTACCGATCAAGGAGCGAACGCAATCGCACTCGAACGCCGACCTTGGAAACCGTTGGCTTATGTTGGCTCGCGCCGTACTCACCGATTCGAACACCTCCAAATCTGTAACCACATGTACCTTGGCTTGCGTTGGAATCTCGGGCTGTACGCGGCTTTTGAGTTAGTCTTAAGCCGCGTACAGACCGAAAATCCAACGCCGAGCATACAAATGCAAGCACGTGTGACGTTGGCGTTTGTTGTTGGAAGGTATTGGAATGCGTTCGTCTTCACGTCGTCTACACCTAAATTTAGTGCAACAAATCTTGCCCGGTCCAAATCAAACCTCCCTACGATGTATTGATCAAGGAGCATTGACTTATGTTGGCTCACGTCGTACACACCTCCAAATCTGTAACTACATGTGCCTTGGCTTGCGTTGGAATCTCGGTCTGTACGCGGCTTTTGAGTTAGTGTTAAGCCGCGTACAGACTGAAAATCCAACGCCGCGCATACGAATGCAAGCACGTGTGACGTTCGCGTTTGATGTTGGAAGGCATTGGAACTCGGTTGTCACAACACCTAAATTTAGTGCAACAAATCCAAATCAAACCTCACTTCGATGTACCGATCAAGGAGCGAACGCAATCGCACTCGAACCCCGACCTTGGAAACCGTTGGCTTATGTTGGCTCGCGCCGTACTCACCGATTCGAACACCTCCAAATCTGTAACCACATGTGCCTTGGCTTGCGTTGGAATCTCGGTCTGTACGCGGCTTTTGAGTTAGTCTTAAGCCGCGTACAGACCGAAAATCCAACGCCGAGCATACAAATGCAAGCACGTGTGACGTTGGCGTTTGTTGTTGGAAGGTATTGGAACTCGGTTGTCACAACACCTAAATTTAGTGCAACAAATCCAAATCAAACCTCCCTTTGATGTACCGATCAAGGAGCTAACGCAATCGCATTCGAACGCCGACCTTGGAAACCGTTGGCTTATGTTGGCTCGCGCCGTACTCACCGATTCGAACACCTCCAAATCTGTAACCACATGTGCCTTGGCTTGCGTTTGAATCTCGGTCTGTACGCGGCTTTTGAGTTAGTCTTAAGCCGCGTACAGACTGAAAATCCAACGCCGCGCATACGAATGCAAGCACGTGTGACGTTCGCGTTTGATGTTGGAAGGCATTGGAACTCGGTTGTCACAACACCTAAATTTAGTGCAACAAATCCAAATCAAACCTCCCTTCGATGTACCGATCAAGGAGCGAACGCAATCGCACTCGAACGCCGACCTTGGAAACCGTTGGCTTATGTTGGCTCGCGCCGTACTCACCGATTCGAACACCTCCGAATCTGTAACCACATGCGCCTTGGCTTGCGTTGGAATCTCGGTCTGTACGCGGCTTTTGAGTTAGTCTTAAGCCGCGTACAGACCGAAAATCCAACGCCGAGCATACAAATGCAAGCACGTGTGACGTTGGCGTTTGTTGTTGGAAGGTATTGGAATGCGTTCGTCTTCACGTCGTCTACACCTAAATTTAGTGCAACAATTCTTGCCCGGTCCAAATCAAACCTCCCTTCGATGTATTGATCAAGGAGCGTTGACTTATGTTAGCTCACGTCGTACACACCTCCAAATCTGTAACTACATGTCCCTTGGCTTGCGTTTGAATCTCGGTCTGTACGCGGCTTTTGAGTTAGTGTTAAGCCGCGTACAGACTGAAAATCCAACGCCGCGCATACGAATGCAAGCACGTGTGACGTTCGCGTTTGATGTTGGAAGGCATTGGAACTCGGTTGTCACAACACCTAAATTTAGTGCAACAAATCCAAATCAAACCTCCCTTTGATGTACCGATCAAGGAGCTAACGCAATCGCATTCGAACGCCGACCTTGGAAACCATTGGCTTATGTTGGCTCGCGCCGTACTCACCGATTCGAGCACCTCCAAATCTGTAACCACATGTGCCTTGGCTTGCGTTGGAATCTCGGTCTGTACGCGGCTTTTGAGTTCGTCTTAAGCCGCGTACAGACCGAAAATCCAACGCCGAGCATACAAATGCAAGCACGTGTGACGTTGGCGTTTGTTGTTGGAAGGTATTGGAATGCGTTCGTCTTCACGTCGTCTACACCTAAATTTAGTGCAACAAATCTTGCCCGGTCTAAATCAAACCTCCCTTCGATGTATTGATCAAGGAGCGTTGACTTATGTTGGCTCACGTCGTACACACCTCCAAATCTGTAACTACATGTCCCTTGGCTTGCGTTTGAATCTCGGTCTGTACGCGGCTTTTGAGTTACTGTTAAGCCGCGTACAGACTGAAAATCCAACGCCGCGCATACGAATGCAAGCACGTGTGACGTTCGCGTTTGATGTTGGAAGGCATTGGAACTCGGTTGTCACAACACCTAAATTTAGTGCAACAAATCCAAATCAAACCTCCCTTTGATGTACCGATCAAGGAGCTAACGCAATCGCATTCGAACGCCGACCTTGGAAACCATTGGCTTATGTTGGCTCGCGCCGTACTCACCGATTCGAACACCTCCAAATCTGTAACCGCATGTGCCTTGGCTTGCGTTTGAATCTCGGTCTGTACGCGGCTTTTGAGTTACTGTTAAGCCGCGTACAGACTGAAAATCCAACGCCGCGCATACGAATGCAAGCACGTGTGACGTTCGCGTTTGATGTTGGAAGGCATTGGAACTCGGTTGTCACAACACCTAAATTTAGTGCAACAAATCCAAATCAAACCTCCCTTTGATGTACCGATCAAGGAGCTAACGCAATCGCATTCGAACGCCGACCTTGGAAACCATTGGCTTATGTTGGCTCGCGCCGTACTCACCGATTCGAACACCTCCAAATCTGTAACCACATGTGCCTTGGCTTGCGTTTGAATCTCGGTCTGTACGCGGCTTTTGAGTTACTGTTAAGCCGCGTACAGACTGAAAATCCAACGCCGCGCATACGAATGCAAGCACGTGTGACGTTCGCGTTTGATGTTGGAAGGCATTGGAACTCGGTTGTCACAACACCTAAATTTAGTGCAACAAATCCAAATCAAACCTCCCTTTGATGTACCGATCAAGGAGCTAACGCAATCGCATTCGAACGCCGACCTTGGAAACCATTGGCTTATGTTTGCTCGCGCCGTACTCACCGATTCGAACACCTCCAAATCTGTAACCACATGTGCCTTGGCTTGCGTTGGAATCTCGGTCTGTACGCGGCTTTTGAGTTAGTGTTAAGCTGCGTACAGACTGAAAATCCAACGCCGCGCATACGAATGCAAGCACGTGTGACGTTCGCGTTTGATGTTGGAAGGCATTGGAACTCGGTTGTCACAACACCTAAATTTAATGCAACAAATCCAAATCAAACCTCCCTTTGATGTACCGATCAAGGAGCTAACGCAATCGCATTCGAACGCCGACCTTGGAAACCATTGGCTTATGTTTGCTCGCGCCGTACTCACCGATTCGAACACCTCCAAATCTGTAACCACATGTGCCTTGGCTTGCGTTGGAATCTCGGTCTGTACGAGGCTTATGAGTTAGTGTTAAGCCGCGTACAGAACGGTCAGTTGGCGACATTTTTTGTGTTAACTGCACCTTCTAAGGAAACAAATGCGAATCATCCTTCAAAATGCGCCGCAACGTGGTTCCACTGATGCCAAAATGCTGAGCGCGGTGACGATACGACACTTTTGGGTTCTGGGCAACGCTGTCTCTGAGGGGGGGCCGCCAAATGCCCCAACAAAACATCAAAATAAAGAATGGGTAACCCTCCCATTTCCCCTTCACATCACTCAAGGTATCACCTACCTACTATCTACATATTGAAATTCTATTACAGGATAAACCATACAAGATTCACGAAGACCCATACGGGGGTATTCAAGTGAAGGGAGTGACATTTAAAACTGTGATATCTGCAGAGGAAGCTTTGCAATGCTTGAGACTAGGTGCCCTTTCCCGTACGACCGCCAGTACCCAAATGAACACCCAATCGTCGCGTTCTCATGCTATATTCACATTACACATCAAACAACAAAAAATGGTAACGTCCGAAGATGAAACGTCGAACGATTTCGAAACCTTCCACGCAAAATTCCACTTTGTAGACCTGGCTGGTTCGGAAAGACTAAAACGGACTATGGCAACTGGAGAGAGGCAAAAGGAAGGCATTTCCATCAATTGTGGCCTACTAGCTTTAGGAAATGTGATATCAGCTTTAGGTGATAAGTCGAAAAGGGCATTACATATACCGTATAGAGATTCTAAACTGACTAGGCTGCTTCAGGATAGTCTAGGCGGTAATAGTCAAACTGTGATGATTGCTTGTGTTAGTCCCAGTGACAGAGACTTCATGGAGACGTTAAATACGCTAAAGTACGCGAACAGAGCTAGAAACATCAAGAACAAGGTGTTCGTCAATCAAGACAAGAGTTCAAAAACTATAGCGCAGCTAAAACAACAAATCGCTCAGCTGCAATTAGAGTTAGTCGAGTATAAACAGGGTAAAAGAATAGTGAGAGAAGATGGATCGGAGACAGTCAATGACATGTTCTATGAAAATGGTATGCTTCAGAGTGAGATAAGCAATCTGCGTACTAGAGTTAAGGCGCTGCAAGAAACTATCGATGCACTTACTATTAAGAATACGGATCTATTAGTAGAGAAGGCAGCTGGAAACTGGATATCCACCCCTGGTGCTGATAATGATGTAACTTATCTCGTCCAAAACTACCTCAAAGAAATCGAAGAACTTCGAGCTAAACTCATAGAATCAAACAACACCTGCGAACAACTGAGAAAACAACTGTCAAGACGAACCATCAGTCGAAATAATACATCGCTAGATATGCCTATAGAAGAAGACGTTTTACTTCTCGAGAAAGCCAAGCAAGACTTACAAAAAGAAAAAGAAGAGCTCACCAGAAGGGCTTTAGAACACGAAAATGACAGCGATGCGGAGAGCATTCACGATTCAGAAAGTGAGAGTGATGAAAAAGACGCGCATAACGAACTAAAAGACGAACTAATCACTCTAACAAATGACATTGACATGAAACAAAAACTAATAGATCAACTAGAACAATCTCAAAGAAGAATGCATATGATGAGGCAACATTACGAAGACAAGCTTATGCAATTACAAATCAAGATCCAAACTACCCAAGAAGAACGTGATAAGATATTGCATTCGTATAGCGCGAGATCTGAACCATCAGAAAAAACTAAGAAGATCAAAGATGAATACACGAAAAAAATATCGCTGATGCAAAAGGAACTTAAAAAGCTGCAGTCTGCACAGAAAGAGCACGCGAGGCTGGTAAAAAGCCAAAGTCAATATGAAAACCAATTGAAGTCCTATAAAAACGAAGTCCTCGAAATGAAAAGAGCGAAAGTGCGATTGATCAACAAAATGAAAGAAGAATCACAAAAGCACAAGGAAGCCGAGATGAAACGATTGAGGGAAATAGCGCAACTTCGCAAAGAGTCCAGGAAAAATGCCAACGTCATCAAAACAATGCAGAACGAAAGGAAAATCAAAGACCAAGTGTTGAAACGTAAACAAGAAGAAGTATCAGTATTAAGGAAGAATCAGCGAGGACGTCTGCTAAGTATGAAAGCATCAGGGAGGATCAATAACGGTTTTTCAGAGAGGGTAGCTAAACAGAAGTGGATGAAGGTCGAGAAGGCAATAAATAATATTGCCTTGAGCAAGAAGGGATTGGTGGAACAAGAAGTGAGGATGGAGCATTTTCTGGAGAAAAGAGAAGTGTTAGGTAAGTTTTATTATGTGATATCGTTTTGAAATCTGTAATACGTAAGTAATTGTTACAGCCATTCTATTTTTAAAGACAATGGTAAACTTTATTTATCAATATATTTTTGTCTAAATGGCTTTATAGTTTACAACTTTAAGTGCTTTATATCGACCACAATCACCACAATCTTACTAATTTTTATAATCTAATCTAAAACGTTTTCAATTGGGTAATTAACAAATAAACGGCATTAAGTTTTTCTAAGTTAAGCTAAAATTTGTAGTCAGTAAATAAGTAAGTTTCATTAAATTAAATATTTAAAACACACATGACAACAGCGCGTCGGCCTTTCACACTCTTATCGAACCGGCAATCGATCGCAAACCATAACAGTGGTTAGTTATAGGGCATCGGGCCTGTTGTTTTGTTTTTGTTCGCGTACGTCGTCGTGTTTATTTACAATGTTCTCGAATCAAGAGTTCGCCGACATGTTGTTAATTTACGCCAACGGGTACACCCAGACAGAAGGACATTTTTAAAAACATTCTAGCGACGGACGAATGTGCTTTTACGCGAAACGGGATATTAAATTTCCATAATACTCACACGTGCGCCCAAGAAAATCCTCATACCATTCGTGAAGGTCATTTCCAACAACGTTTTGAAATGAATATTTGGGCGGGTTTCCTTGACGATCAGGTAATTGGCCCTTTCGAGTTACCCCCAACGCTGAACGAACATTATCCAAATCGCTGGATCGGTCGAAATGCTCCTGATCCTCGAGAATGGCCAACACGATCTCCTGACCTCAATCCGATGGATTTCTGGTATTGGGGAGTACTTAAAGGGACGGTTTATGGGGCTGGTCCCATAACAACTGAAGCACATCTTCGCGAAAACATTTTTAATGCGGCTGAAATAATAAATGGACAACTTCGAGGACCTAGAGTAATGAAGCTTGTGTAGAAAGTGGATGACGACATTTTATGTTTAGAATTTGGACGGGAAGTACCATGGTCATTTTGTATTTGGCCTCTGCATCTAGTCCGTAGACTAAACAAGTACAAGTGTACTAGCAATTGAAATGAATCATTTAATCGTTTATACCTTTCACAATATACAAACGTACATGCTTATCAGTTGCTTGATCTTAATTGGTTGATAATTATATTTCATTTCAAGGTGATACGGGGTTTCAGCTGCTTATTTTCCATAACAAGGGCGATACTAGAACGATTTTTAGGGAAGAGGAAAGATTTTTACAAAACTTGCAGTCAAGTAGATTGACTTGATACGTACTGATATTTTTATCAAGTACTCATATACAAGGCGCCACTAACAAGTCAGATATTGTTCTTAAAACAAAAACTGGTCAAAAGAACTTCATGTTCAGGAAGGTATGTTCTTCTCGTCTTCGAGGGGGCGGGAGGGGGGTATGACAACCCTACCCTTGAACCCTTAGGGTACAGCCTAAAAGTGATTAAAATATTAAATCTAATTTAAAAATGAACAATATATTGTTAAATAACAAAATTAATTCTTCCTTTTTGTCCTCCTGCGAATCGAATACTTACAATCTCCTTTGAATCTAGTGCAACAACTTTTTTGTGGTTTTGTCCGTCACAGTGGCGGATTTAAGTAATGGCAAAATGGACATTGCCGCACTCACCCCCCGCCACTGTTCCATCAAAAAGGCCGAAAGGTCGGTGAAAACTCAATGTTACTTGATTTCACGGCCATAAAAATATGTAGATTAAAAATAGACGTTTGCCGTCAATGCTTGTAGGTAAGGAATTGGATGCGTTGGAACAAAGGCGGAAAGAGGCAGTCCACAAAGGGCAGGACACAACACAACTAGACAGCTACATAGAAGATGTGAAAGAAAACATAAACTTCGTACAGGAAACCATCAGCGAAACGCAACATAACGTCATGGAAATTGAAGAATCAGAAGACACCAATGAAAATAGTGATTTGCAACAAATCATTTCAACAATATTCGACATCGATGAGGCAAAATATGTGATAGATAAGCTGTATAATATGACGCTAAGTCAAAGTCATGCGGTTGCCCAAAGAGAAGCGAAACTGAAGGAGAATGAGGCCACCCTGCAAGAGGTAAGGATTATCTTATAATTCTGTTCATTATTTTGATGCCTGCATATGAAAATGCTAAAATAAAAAATATTACAGCAACTACAAAGTTGTTATTTGGACACAAGAGACAGCTGCACTTATTATTTTGTATTTGTAGTATTTCAAAAATATTAGGGCTTCACTGAAAAAAGTTGGAATTATTCGGTTTTCAGTCAAATGAACCTGCAAATGCTATACTACTTTTGAAAGAGCATTAAGTAGCTAGTTTTTAAGGTTGATTCAGTCTCGCAGATTTTTTTCACAGTACTTAGTCAAACTTTAATAAAGGTTTTCGCATTGATACCAAATGTAAAAATTTTTTTAAAATAAATACTCGGTTGTCTCAACCATCTATTAATTGTAAACTAGGGAAAAAAATCATCAGTTAGAAGTTCTTTATAGCGATAACAGGCAGACAATGAGCAAAAAGAAGTGATTTAAAAAAAATCAAAAGTGGCAATATCTGGAAAACTAGAAAAGTTTTACTAAGGTCATGTTGATTTTATCTGACTGATCTGAAGCCAATGAACCTCCCGTGTCACTCTGGCATGTTATTCCTGTATATGTTGGTATTTGACATGTTCTAATGGCAGCGTTCCATAGCAAGTGCAGGGCCAACCTACTTGACGCCATTTTTGATAACAGATTCGTAACGAGCGACCTAAAATACCCCCAATTCACTTTATGAAGTTCAAGGTTTTCCTCAAACATTTTAATGACTAAAAACGCAATGTAAATTGATAGAAGTAGCACTGAAACAAGACTGTTTCTCTCAAAAATCATTCATTCTATCGAAATCAAAAGTATTGCTTTTAAGCGTCATTGTACAGGGTGCTGAAAGATGATCAACATTGCGTTTAGGCTAATCCGTCTCTGGTGAACTGAACGAGTTAACTGTTCACTATGGGTATAATCCTGATGAAGATTCATTGGACCTCAAAATTTGAATATTTTGGCGTTTTGGGGTAGCCTACACTTTCCATAAAAATTTATTTCTTCTCGGTGATCCCCCCCTGAGAAAAATGACTGCGGGCGACCATGCTTGGAAACACTGTACATTGAACACATATTTTTCCAGTTACAACAAGAGAACCACGTTAAAGGCCAATTATTAGACCACGTACTTCATAACGAGATTCCAATATTTTCTAAGGATCTCATCAATAGTATTTCAAGTAATACAAACGAAACTACGAGCTCCAATTCTTCGAGGTCTTCATCTCCGGCCCCATTAGAAAGGCAGTAAGTAGTTTTTATTTTTGCACTATTTGAAAACCGTCTATTGACCCAGGAACTGCATTTTAAAGCTCACTTAAAAAATGTTCATTTTCAGTTTGTCTATCACCGAAACTAGCACGCCACAAGGTGCGACGAGTAGGTCAAAAATCAGAAGGCGAACTGCACCTCAACCAGCCGAGATGCTTTTTGGTCTTCACACCCCTGAAATGACCCAGTCTCACACCCCGACCAGCTTAAGGTTGGACCATCACAGACTGCAAAGGGTGCCCAGTGTTCCAGGAACTTTAAGGTCAGTGTGACAGTAACTTTAAAAAAATTGATACGATTCCTCACTACACTCACATAAATCGAACTCAATTTTTTCGCTTTATCGACATCGGTCTTCGACGAGAAAATTAATATCGTTATTTTTTATATTTTTAATTGTATATTTTTCACGCCATCTGGAACATTTTGGCCTTCCATAAGGATGCCTTTTGGTCGGTTTAAATTGTTTCTTAATCAAAATTATGAAGATTATTGGCAACTTATTTGATATTTATACAGGGTGGCGCATACGAAACAAACGCATTTACTGGCAGCTCAGTTTTTTTTTTTTTTGAAAAAAGCTCAGACCTGTCGATTTTGTTTTCGAGGGGGACACGAGTTTGGCAAAAAATCACGTTGACACGTGCAGCCCCCTGGGCGGGGTTGACACCAACCCTAAAATCTTAAATGGAAAGGGGGGTCGAGTGATACCTTATTTTAAAGGTCTTTCAATTTTTTGAAAATTGCTACTAGTTCATCAAACAACTTTGTTTTATTTGTATTACAGGCTGAATTCTTGATGGTGTATGAAACTTCATCCACTGCCGAAAGTTGTGTCAAGAAACACGAAGTAGGAAAAATCTGTTTTTGTAAATCTAGTATTGTTTGTTGTGAATACTAAAACGTTATTTGTTATTGTTAGCTAAAATTGGTAATAGTTGTCTGTTAGAATTACATTGTCTTTGAGTAGTCGTATGTTGACAAAATTGCTTTCAGTGATACATTATATAGGGTGATTCAGCACACAACGGTAATGTTTCTAAAGCAGAAAGTACATTAAAAAAACATAAAAAGTTCCAAAAACATATGTTCTAAAATGTTCCGTGATACAGCCTGTTGTTAGTGATGAGACTGAATAAAGACAAAACATGAATATTGTTCAAATTAGGTGGAATTACTCTCCTAATACGCTACATAAAATTTCAGCATATTTTCACAGTGGAATGGATTGGAGTTTTTTATAAGGGTTTTACCCTTTTTTCTCTAAAAGTATAATTAACTTAATTCAAAAATCCAGTAGGTATTTTAAAAAGTTAATAGCATTGAATATAATGTTTTTCTTTCTTCTGCAGAGGGACCAAAATTTCCCGATTTCTACGTCACAAGAATGTGGCGTTTTTGTACGATATTTTTTATTTTTTATTACTATGTCGACTGGACTATCGCGATGGCGGTCGATGATTCTCGGCGTGTAGCGGTAGCGTAATTCTGGTTGCCTAAGCGTCGAGGTTACTCAAAGTTCTAGTTACGAGGGCTTTAGACTATATGCGTGCGTCCACAAAATTACGAAACTATGAAAATCTCTCACAGCTATGTTTCTTCCCTCTGCATTAATTAGAAATCTACCTTGAAGATATTAGTGTTTCATAGATGATGTATCCCAGTAAGGGGACATTTTAGAACCGATGTTTATACTTATATGTCACCTTTGGATCTTCTTTCTTTTTCTAAAGCATTGCCATTGCATCACCCTGTATATCGGACTAATTTGCCAAAAATAGTGGACTCTGTTGTAGAAAAAATGTAAAGACGAATTGATAACGGAATTATATTTTTTAGTGCTCTGATCTAGAGAGATACATTTTTGTATTGAACGTCGAAGTTTGAAAAAACACTTCGCATGATGTTCAAAAAATGTAATTCCATTTCAAAATCAGTGCGACGTAATACAAAGGGTTTTTGGCAAGCAAGAATTTCAAACAGTATCACGTTAAGGACAGTTTGCAACTATTTAAATACATTAGAAGTTTGGAGCAAACAATTATTTATTACTTATAAAACGTTTGCAACAAACTAAACAAGTATTAAATAGTTTTAATTTTTGATATAATAAAGTATACTTCTGCAACATTAGAAACAAATAGAAACGTAAATACATATACCTCAAGTCGCCAATAAAGTGATTGCTTTATGTATTCAAGAATGTAGATTATATATACAAGTTTGGGCAGTATTAATTATAGTAAAAACAAGATTTGTAATTATAGAGATTTACGAAAACCTTGACATTCAAGGTCAAACCCAAGGTCACTGGTCGCTTGCTGAATTGAGTGTTCAAGAAAATGATTTGACCCTGAAGTCCAACGTCAACTTACTATTAAAGAAATCTTGTACGTAGAAGTTTTTTTAGAATAATTAATATTGTTCCCCGATTTTTATAAAAGTCCATATTTGTTACATACAACGCCTCTAGATTATCTTGTTAGTATTCGAGAGTACTGATTAACATAAGAGTCCATGATTATAATCAAATGATAGTTGCCAAATTTAGAAGAATACTAGCTAAAACTGACTAATTTATCATGTTTATTGATAACGTCAAATATTACAATATTTTATTAAATTTTAATTGTACAGTTGTTGTTTCGAATTGAAAATAGTGTTACGCATTTGGCTTAGAACGTTAAAAAAACGCTATAATTATCTTCTGAAGCTTGACTTCAAATAATGTTGAATTTTCAATTTATATAGCAGCAGTATTCTAAATCCTTTTCATCTGATATTTTCATGGTGTGTATAGAGATGACTAAAAAACAATGTTTTAATTTTTTTTGTCAAAAAATGCATTTTATTGTGCATTATTTCTTCAGTCGGAATTTGTTAACAAACATAAGTACCGCTCTGAAATTATGTGGGAATATTCCTCTTTTATGGAAGAATGAAACGAGTTATTACTTTTGTTCTTATCACTTTTCCTTTCCGAAAAATCTTCGATTTTCTTGAAGCCTCGCGCGTTTTCAAGAAAGGCAAAGATTTTTCGAAAAGGAAAAATGATCAGAACAAAAGTAATGACTTGTTTCATCCTTCCATAAAAGAGGAATATTCACACACAATTTCAGAGCTGTATTCATGTTTATTAACAAGTTCCGATTGAAGAAAAAATGCATATAAGAATGAAAACATTGTTTTTTAGTCATCTGTATACACACCATAAAATTATCATATGAAAAGGATTCAGAATACAGAAAGTTGAAACAAATCAAAAAAGGGACGTGCCACCTTAAACGATTCAAGGCAAAAACTTGTCCCAGTGATTTGGTAATAAATTAATTTGGCAATAATTTAATATCAACAAAACTTAGAATATATTGCTTTGAAAATAAGACAATGAAAAATGTTTGACAATATTCGCCGTGGAAGGTACTTTTTACAGGAATATTTAGCATGTTTCAAATCAGTTAGGGAATTGTCCACAAACGGCAATATAATGCAACCTCAAGACGGTTTGAGGTTTTTGTAAGAAAAGATGACTAAGCATTGATATACTATTTAGATAGAAATGTATGAAAACAGGTGTTTTAACACGATACTGTAAATGGAAAAATAGAAATACAGGATGTGCCATTTGTAAAGAACGTTGGCTGTATTCAATTACTATAAGACTAAATATAAGATAAAAATATGTAGGGGGTTCGAAAAATTCCCGATCCATCCACTATCCCAGAAAGTACTGCTCAAAAATTTAATTGTGTTAATCGTTGTCTCAAAAGTCTAGAAGTTCTATCCTGACCTTTTTTATTTGGGCAGTATTTCCTGAGATAGTGAAAGGGGCCGGTAACTTTTCGAACATCCTGTATATGAATCTACAAAGTTTTCTCAAAGGTGGGAACTCCTTCCCTTTCAAAGACAAATACTTTTGAAAGAACGTTATACTCGTTTTACATTGACAACAAATCCATGGTTGTCTACATGAGTTGAATTTATGGTAAAATTTCAAATGTATAAAACAGGAATTTGACGTCAAATAAATTCATGAACTTACTTCTTCTGTATGCAGCTAATTTCAGTTCTTCGGTATTCGCCAAAAGTAAAGTATTTTGTTTGTATGATCTCAAAAAACGTAGGGTACTGTTGCGTCTTGTAGAACTTCGAATTTCGCTGTATTCTCACTTGAAACTTAGGTAGTCCGATAGATCATTTTAAATGAAAAAAAGTGTGGATGAAGCACGCTTGTCTAGAACATTTTTTCCCAAAACACTGTATTTTTAGCAGTTATTTTCATCATTATTTCCATCGCCATCGGCCATATGACGTTGAAGTCTGTGCATATGTCATGTATGAGAGGCGCTTGCCTGCGGTGTTGCCGGATTGGGCTCCGCTTTTAGGGAAAAACATGAAAAGTGGAAAATTTATAATACATATATTAATTAATGAAACACAAAAACGAAAAACTGAAACAAACAACAGTAGCAAAATAAAAAGCGATTCTTAATAAGTATAAAACAAAAAATAACGATAGTAAGCTAAAAAACAATAAATTGTACAAAAATAAAAAGTAGTAAAACAAAAAAAAACTTCCATATAATTATAAATAACAAATAAAATATATACATATATAGATTTTCCACATTTCATTTTCCCAATCCGGCAACACCGCAGGCAAGCGCCTCTCATGTATGACATATGCACAGACGTCAACGTCATCATATGGCAGATGGCGGTGTAAATAATGGTAGAAATGACTGCTAAAAATACGTCTTTTGGGGAAAAAATGCATGAAAAGCGTGCTTCATCCACACTTTTTTTATTTAAAATAATCCATCAGACTACCCTCTAGGAGTTTCAAGTGAAAAAACAGTGAAATCCGAAGTTCTACAAGACGCAACAGTACCACTCCCCACTAAAATTATTATTAAGGTATCACTCAAAACCATGAAATAAAATGAAAATAAAAATAATCAGTGAAATAACCTAACTTGCAAAATCATAATATACATTTGTTGTCATTATGTCCCTGACATCGTGATTTTATCATCGACGTACGTCCATTCGGCACAATTTATGATATGACCTAATAGTCATCTTTCGTGATTTTGACTATGGCCAATTATCTTAGAAGACGTGGTTAGAAATTAGTCGCCTGTCATCAAGTCTCATTACATGATTCTGTAATGATGAAGGCGTTCTAAAAATAAAGTTACACAGTATTCCAGGTGTAAAATTTGATCTGTCAATCTATATTCCATTAAACAGTGTACGGTATTACATTAGCGAGCGATTTACAAACGCACCCGAAACATTAATCATGATGACCTTAAGCAAATCCATCTGCATAACTTCGTGAAGAAATTGTTGATGCAAAACGGGTATTAGAAAATTTTAAGGTACCTAGTTGGTTACTGTATATTTCTTACCGTGTCAGCCCAAGCATCCAAGCAGCAGATTTATTGGAAAACTCTGACCACAATCGTATCCGAAGTCCCAATGCCCGTGAACGTTGATTTGTCACTGCCGAATACTTTTTCGCGAGAACCACTCTCAAAAACGGATGATTCTGAAGTTACACACGAAATACACTGACAAAGCCCATTCTTTAGCGGGTGTGACAACAATTCACGAGGTCCACTGCACTATTTTTTCAAATATTTAAATGTAAACAAACAAGACGCTGTGCCGGCCGAAAACTGCTAGGTAGCGTCTACGTGACATGCGTGTGCTTAGTTCAGCAAGTATTCCAAGAAAAATCATACAATTGAGAACAGAGTCGCACTAAGCACTAAGCGGCTAATTTTTTTTTGTCGCTTCGTTATAACTAACATTCTGTTACTTGGATAATTTTTTGATTTCAATGAATACTGACGGTCCCAATTTTGATAGCACCGTGTACACGGCGTCCCCCACTTATTTTTTGAACGAGTTGGAGCATTTTTAACGGGGTCGGTGGTTATTTTAGAGACAGATCTCACGCCACATTCCACTAAAAAAATGTTGCAAGATGGCGCCCAGCCGCCATTTTGAAATTCTGTTCAATTTCATTACCCCAAATTTCATCTTGCCAGCCTGACCCGTTCAAAAAATGAGTAGAGAGTTGGCCTATTTGGAGAGCACTGCATAGAAAAAGTAGTTTTTTAAAAAATGACGCAGAATTTTCTGGTTATAATTACGTCTCTTGGTGATTTAGTGATCTCAAGAGATTGAAAATATTTCCCAGCTACATTCATAACATATTTTTGTCTGATATAGTCGTAGATTTGTGAGATACAAACAGCGGTCTTAATTAATGAGCCATCCTGTGTTATATTCGGAGAAACAGTTTGGACTTAGTGGATCATAGGGCCTTCAAACAGCAAAAAAGTATGGCAGAATTAATAACTACTAGTGATAACTTCCATAACGACGAAGTTGATTTTGTACTAAAATTTACTTTCACAATAGTAGCTGATGTAGAATAATTACTTTGTCTGCTATTTGAATGGCTCCAGAATATGATTAGGCTATATTAAGTAATGAGGTACTGAGATAACGTATTAGAGCCTAACAAAACAGGGATACATGTACGATATTTTGACAGAGTTGCAAATATTAAATTATTTAATTATTTCAAAGGACAACTAAAATATAACATAGTTTTGTATGTTAATGACTTCAATAAAAAGTTAGTTGAACATGAGAGCTATTTTTTACCTCTTGCACACTGATGGACTGTATAATCAGTGATTTTATTGAGAAAGTGTGGATAGACTATCTGACTTGCGTGTTAAAAAAATAATAATAATAACCACATTCAAAACAGTACTAAAGCGGTGCGTGAGCCGTTCAAAATATAATTTGTCTGTTCTTGTTTTTGATCCGTTCAGGATGTGTCATCTATATAAGGAACAAGACTTACAATGAGAGGACACGTCCTTGAGTTATGAGACTTTGTGTACTAGTTGTACTCCTTTAGCACTTTAGGGTAATCACCCCTTGGAATGGTAACGCGTAACGACCAATCAATTCGGAGAAAAATACGTAAGTCCCTTATTTGACAGGAGCATCCTTTGTATTCAATAGAAAAACAGATACTCAATGAATAGTTGACCAAAACCGGTTTGGTAGCAAAATTTTTGTATGAAATAATTTAAAACTCAGATCTTAATGATAGAAGTGATTATAGTTACTATTTATAAATATTCTAACCATAAGTTATGTTTTAAATAATTACCATAATTAAATTGTTTTAAAATGTAAGAAGCCTCTTTCATTGGCAAAATGAAATAATTTTTACTTAATTTATCATCAAATAACAAATGTATTCACTTGTAAAAGCAATTGGTCAAATAAAAAAAGTAAGCCCTGGAGGAGTACAAATCCTACGCTAAGTCTCATCTCAAAATACATTCACAAGATCGTGCTCTGTTATTTTTAGACTTGAACTGTGGCGATTGAGATCAAAATTCCTCGATCATGGGAGGTTTTTTGAAGTTTTGGAGCAACCAGGATATAAAAAAATACGAGAGCCTTCTGGTAAATCATTTATTTACTATGTAACTATTACAATCAACGCATCGGTATACTACTAATAATTATTATATATTACACAAGTGGTAGGTAGATGGGCAGGGTTTCCTCGGAGATTTGGAACAGAATTTGCCCAGAACTTTGATCGAGTTCGCCCTTGATTATACATAATGATATTAGATAATTTTGCACCTAAGCAGGTGTTTTGTTGGCTTCAGACTTAGTCATAGTATGTCTGATGATCCAAGGAATGTAGTTCTGAACTTTCGTGTAGATTCCCGGAGTGTTCTTTTGCCCGCATCCAATGCCCCAAGACACCACGCCGATAGTAATCCATCTACCATTGTCTAATTGGTACATTAGCGGTCCACCAGAATCCCCCTGAAAAAAAAACATAATAGAATGTCAAAAAAAACGAGATAATGCCAAAAAAAACGGAAATATCACTTGTGTACCCCAGACGGTCCTGAGCTTTGCTGGTTTTGTAGGGTGCAGTTGGCTGGTCGGTCTCGATTCGCCCAGTGGGGCAGCATGAACCCCCTGAGTTCCCTCCTGAATGTTGCGCCCCCCATATGTGGTTCCGTTTCGCGGCCAGGCAAAAATGGAAAATTATGAACAGAAAGTGCAAGCTCACCTGACATGAATCTTTGTTTCCTTCATATCCCGCAGCACATAAGTTGTTATCTGTAATCTTTTGGATATATGCATCTACGCACTTCTGGTAGGGCCACACAGGAACAGCGACTTGCATAGGAACATCACTCGTCGGACCTTAAAAATGTAGGCTGTTTACAACTCTTGGTATGAAACATGTCTCGTAAGAAATCAATATAAAGTAGAGCAAAATATACTGAATGTTGGTATCCGGAGGTTACCCTTCAAATTTTTCAAGTCTGTCTTAAGCACTTTCTTAAAGGCTACTAGAGAATGATTTTTTTACTTCATTGGTGTCTATTTAGCGAAAGCAACAATCTTCTATGGGTTCGAGAATTATTTTATTTTCAGTCTCAGTATGTTCCTATAGTCAAATACCAGAATTGATGACAGTAGCAGAAGTCATCGTGCGCCACTGCTTTGACGCTTGAATAGCAGTGGCGTACGTTGAGTTTCATTACTGTCATCAATTTTGGTATTTTGCTATAATAGATCAAGTGGCAGATGCATGGTTCTCCAGCTTGTTCAAATCGAAATACAAGTAGCCAGACACTGCTAAATACTCTATTTCTTGGCAATAATTTCTGAAGCATATTACATTATTTATACCGTAAATATTATATAATGAAAAAATACACGTCTTGAAGTTCACAAATAAATTCAATAATAGTCTGGAGTCGAACTTTTATTTTTGAGTGTGTTATCTCAATGATTTAAGGACACGCTGTTTTAGTACCTACCTCCGTAGTAAAGCTGTCCCCATCCAACAACTATAGGCATTTCGTTTTCGTAGCTTCCTTCAATGGGTGGTAGACATATGGGCCAAATGTACGCGTTGAAGCTAGTCGAAGATTTCAATCTAACTATCGCAATGTCATTTTCATAATTTGCAGAAATGTAGTTTTCATGTATTATGATTTCAGCAACTTCGTAGTCACGAGCTCTACTTTCACTGTGTTGCTTGAAACTATACTCACCTAACCTAGCTCGTATCTCTGGAGCTGTAACACTTGAAAATAATAGAGTGGTAAACGTATTTTTGTCGTTAGAATGATATCGGACAAATTGAAGTCAGATTCACCACGTTAAAATGTAGAGAACCGAACATTAAGAATGGTGCGTAATCTTCTCCACGGGAATTAAACATCCCCCCTATATGACAACCAGTGGCTTAGAAAGTAGGGGGGCGACGGGGGCGGGCCGCACTGGGTGTCACCTTTTTTGGGATGACACCCACTACTGACGTACGCCGATCAACAAAAATGACGTCATTATGATGGTCTAATATCACACCCATTTGACATTATATGACGCCAGGTTATGTCTTATAAAAGACCAAGTACAAAGTCGATATGACCTCTATCTGAGGTCGATATGACGTACAGTCGCTAGCAAAATTAATCGCGCGATGTATGCAAATGGTCCTGATAAATCGAGGATGTGACAGCGACGCCTAACAACCCAAAACCAACCAAATAATACCTTACTGTTCATTAAAAGTCTATAGTTTCTTTGTAGGTAAGTGTTGATTTTTCAGCACTGGCTGTCTTAAAATAGATGTCAAAATGACAGCTTTGAAAGTATGTCTTGTTGTCATAAAAATGGCGTCATTAAAGACGTCATTTTGGCGTCATCATGTTCACTGGAAACCTTATTCAATAATCGGCAATCGGATGTAGAAGAAGCCAGATTCATACTGTCCAATACGATGAGCTTTTTAAGATAGCTAACCTATATATGAGGGACTTGTCTTTGGTGAGAAACAAAGCGGATAATCTTATTTTAAAATCCTTCATTCAGGTTCCATGGTCCTAAGTTTCCTGTATATTTACTTCGATTGTATAAAACTTACCCAGTGAAGCAGTGTGCGGCGCTAAGGATATGCGTGTCCGTCAAAATCGCGCCACCACAAAATTGATTTTCTTTGCCCTGCTCGAAGGGCTTGATTTTGTATAATGCTGCTAGCCATGGCCATATTTGCATCTTTGAAGCGCTTTTCGTTTTTGAAAACATGGTGTTTGCAGAGAGCCCACAACCTGTGTAAAGTTATACAGTGTGATTCGAAAATTAGATCAGAAAGTGCATCCAAAAATTCCATAAAAAGTTCCTACCTGTTGTGTTTTCATTATCTTCGTAATCATAACCCCCAGCTGGTAAATCCATGATCAGCTGCGAGCCTACCAAGTTAGAGCTTGTTATGTCATCGGGACAGCATACTCCAACAAATCTGTGATAATAATATTAGAAAAAACAACACACAGTAATAATGAATTTATTACAGAGATTTTCTAGGTACATACGGGGTGATTCACAAGTCGTGATCAAAGATGAAACATCATACACCGGCGCTTCATTAAAAAGATACAGGATGTTGAAGTTTAAAAATACAAAACAATTTTTTTTTAATATCTTCAAGACCGTCAACTGGAATGAACTAAGATTTGGTATGTGGATTTTCCCAAGTATTGTCCAGATTCAAAAGTCTTTACTTAAAATTAACGTGCACCAGTGACGGAGATACAGGGGATTACTGGCATTATTTTTTTACAAATAAAAATAGTGCGCCATTGTTTTTTAGCAACGTTTTACTTTTCGAATTTTACCTTCAATTTGCCACTGTTTTTGTAAAAATAAAAGAAGTTAGATCTTTCATGAAGAGCCGAGATACAATTCTGCACCTCAGAGAAAGACTAGTATAAGTCCAATAAGTAGTTTTGAGATAATTCTATTTGAAATATTTTTCTTGCATTGAATTGTATGCGACTTGACATGAGTTAAAAAGCCGTAACTTCCTTATTTTTGCAGATAGATGGTCGCTGCATGTAGCGAATGAAAATTCACAATATTGTCATAAGCTTAACATATTAAACTCATTTTTGATAAAAATGGACTTAACCTAGTCTGGCTCTGGGGTACAGAATTAGTTTCAAAGTAAAATAGGAGGACTTGATACTAACTTGACGTTTCTGATCTGTTGTGGTATACGAAACAAATGAAATCTAATAATTTCAAGGCCTACCTAGGAACTTCTGTTTTTCTGGAATAACTAAGGTTTGGCAGTGTCAATGTATGACGTGTTATACATTTTTGGAATCAGAATTAAAATTTCTATTCATCTATGAAAAAACCAATATGGCATCTATTAGAAAAATAAGAGATGAAATGTCATATTGAAATTCTAATTATGTCATCTTTTAGAGAAGAAACAGAACTTTAAATTTCGAAACTTTCTAAGCGGCAATTTTGCTGACAACCTAAATACGCAAATTTCCCCCATTTAAGCGAGGATCGACGTTGAAACACACTGTATATGCATCTACAGCTTGACATATCTGGATCTTTATACGATTTTCTCTTTAAAGCACAATTGAACCTTCATTATTTTCAGTTACTGCAGTGTTTCTTAAAAAGTTACTTGTTCTTAGATATGTATTCTGGTAAAAAATCGTTCGATGTTCACCTTCTCTCAATAACACACAGGTATTCCAGTGCTGCAACTTCCTTGTAAAGACTTGCAGGGCAGTAGATATGATGTTTGCAATGGCCTTTCGCGTCACCTGGTGCGACACATTCTTGATAGCGTTTATTCAACTGTGAAAAATAGCATTCCTGTTTTTAAACGAAATCTCAATCTTTTTATATTTTTCACGTTCCATGCCTACCGGCGAGGAAGTATTGTAATCGTGAAAAACGTCGGAAAATATAATGTCCTTTGGATGTTATATCACGAAAAACCATGACACATTTAAGAGGTTGTATAAGGGCTGTAGGTAACATTTATACAACAAAAGTGTAAGCCCCTTGCAGCCGCTATAGGACATTTGCGTCAGTGCAAGATTCAGTTTTTGTCAACTATACAACTATTCTGTTACGTGATTCTACTTTATTGCAACCAAACTATTTCTTACGTATTGCATAGACGAAGTGAAGAATATATAACTAACACATTACAGTCATCTTGTTTAATTACATATCGGCCGTTGTGAATTTCATACACAGGTATATGATAAACTTCTACACTGTGATATAGGGCTATTGAATTACTTGCGCAGCAAATTTTATTGTGATTATCGTGCAAAGTAGTTAAGCAATTTCTACGGGCTTTGTATTTGATTCGTTTTTGATAATGGTCAAAAGTATGTCTAGATTTTTAAGATGGAAAACTGAAATTATCTGCGTTAAATCTTCCACAAATCCTATATTTAGATACAATTACACTAGTGTTTATCACTTTATATCTGTAATTTCGAACTGAAACATAATTATTTAATATTAAATAGAGGAATAAGTGTTTGCCCAATATGGCGGGTGGTTGTGTATAATCATGGCATCGTCCATGTTGTCTTTAGTTTATTAGAATATTTTGGTGTTGCCTGCAGGTGTTATACAACAATTTGACAAACGTCTGAAATAAAATACCGACAGAGTCGAATTATTTACCCAGATCTATATCTTCTGTTTGAACAGTTGAGAAAACCTTGTGAACCAATATGCATGCATTTTTTGTCTTGACATTGGTTATGGCATTTTAACAAAAATATCACAGCAGAAAGTTAGGTTATGGTGAAGTTGTATACCGACATATTCAGCATCTGTACAGCCTTTAACAGTTACTAAACAACAGTTTGCCAACAAATTGCTTCCGTTGGGAGCAATTTGTTGGCTAAAGTAGTAAATTGCACAGCAAAACAATAAGGCCCGGGTTGGTTTTATAAACGTTACCATGGATGCCAACCATTTTGACAAACGTGCAAATATGCCGTATAAAATAGTTTTATAAACGTTTATTGCAACAGTTAAAAATTTGCCCTATAAGGTGTTGTATAACTATGCTATGAGAATATTTTAAACACCTCATTTTAGAACAAATATGTTGCAGAAAGCAAATTTGCATTCCACACAACATTAAGCCAGCATTTTAGTGTTCAGGCAGCAACAATAGAGAGCTTTTATGGCTGAACGGTTCTTTTACCAAAAGCTTATACCACTACTTTGCTAGTTGGGGTAGAACGATGATTCAAAAATAATACCTTGAACTTTTTTCCGAGACCCAGGTATCTTCTTCGTCGTATATGAGGATAGGTATTAAAAAAATGTTTTTTTTCGCCTTCATCTTTTGGATGATTTATTAGCATCCTCTCTGGATCTGCAATACATATTGATACACAATAAATCTCGATAACCAAAATACAAATTATATTTAAAAATTCCTGTTGTCAGTCTCTTTTCTGGTCTACAATTTTCAAATCGAAAATACTTTTTAAATTGAATGGAACGAAAATTATTTATGTTACGAGAGAAGGCATATTTGTCTTTAAAGCAATTTTTCTCAAGCCCAGTTATATATTTGACTGTATTTTAGTTAGTTAATTTTTTAGTAGATAGTTAAATACTTACTCGTTCTGACAACCACTCCATACACACAATTAATTATTTGCAAAATAAATATCGTGGTAAAACAAAACGCGACCATTTTTTCAGAGCCACACTTTTATATCAATAAACGACTCTGGTGTACTGATTGTAAAAATATTTTTGTCACTGTTATTTCCTGTTAATAGTTTTTATGTAGGTGGTGACATAGGTTTATCTGGAATACACCGAATACAATATAGTAATTTTAACTTTTTTATCTGCATAATGTGAATCTAGCACACACTATTTTTATTAACTAATAAATGAATTTTGTTTTGAAAAATGAAGGCGTTCACGGCTAATTCTAATGTCATTTAGGTTTTTCGGGCTGTTGAGCCGTGGTCGGATTGGATGTGATTTGAAAATGTTGTTATACAGGGTGCATTTTGCCCTAAATTTCTAAACACTCTGTGAAAACATTGGATTACTGAATAATGTGTCTTCGTATGAGAATTTGAAGCCTCAACTTTTCTCAACAGTTCTTTTTTTGATTCATGTCAATATGTCAATTATTAAAGAATATATGCTGTTTTAAAGAAAATCATGCGAATCATAGCCATAAACAATTTAATTAAAAAAATATAGTGGTAAGAAAACTATGCGAATCATAACCATAAACAATTTAACTTGGAAAATTACAGTGGCATCATTGATAATTAGAAATCGTTATCAAAAGCGAGTATTTCCTCCCCGGGCCTGAATAACAGCTCTCATCCTCTCTGTCATAGATTCAATTAAACAAGGGGTATTTGACGTGTCATAAAAATGCTGACAGACACAGCCTACTTGAAACAATTTCTTACCCAGCAAAGCCTGCTTGAAACAATTTCTTGTTTATGGCTATGATTCGCATGATTTTCTTCAAAACAGCATATATTCTTCAATAATTGAGATATTGACATGGATCAAAAAAGAACTGTTGAAAAAAGTTAAAATTCTCATACGAAGACACATTATTCAGTCATCCAATGTTCCCACGGGGTGTTCAGAAATTTAGGGCACCTTTTAGTTACACCCTGTATAACATTTTCATTTTCTTTGCAAGATCCACAGTCGATAATGATAACAATGAAGGTTAAAAAGTTATTTAAAATTTAATTTGAACAAAATTTTGTTTGTCCGGTTGATTTTGCGTGGCAGTGTAGTCAGTGTTTAAATAAATTCCATCATTAAAAAAACCGATAAATATTTTGTTCCAAAACTTTTGGACATACGTTACACTGTATGTACATAAACAGTAAACAATCATCGTGTTCGTCGACCAGTCCGCATAAGGCATTTTTTGTGCGGCTAATTCTGTTTACTGATAAGAGCGTTCACAGTAATCTTTCCTGTTTTTGCGCTGTGTATGGGTTTCTTCGTATTGGTTGAAGTACAATAGACGATTTTATTGGTCAGCCAATCAGCGTTAGGCATTTTTTGTGTTGCTATTTCTGCTCACTGATAAAAGCCTTCACAATAATCTTTCTTGTTTTTTTGCGCTGAGTATGGGTTTATTTGTATTGGTTAAGATATAAAAGATAATTTCATTGGTTAGCCAATCAGCGTTAGACATTTTTTGTGTGGCTATTTCTGCTTACTGATACGAGCGTTCGAACGAGTTTTTCGTGTGCCTTACATACATTAAACATAAATGACTGGGAAAGAAAGAATGCTTTTTAATCAAGCCATGGGACTACTAGGCCTGTAGTGTTAGTTTATTTATATTAGAAAAATCACCATTAGCTGTTACAGTAAAAATGAAGAATAGTAAATCGAATAAAAAAACATCTAGTGACATCATTTTTCATAAGCTCTTATTGCAAACATATAGTAACCATAAACTGTGTTATACAATCATAGAGATCGATACGATGATGTTCGATTAATTTGATTATTTGTCCAATATCACTGAGGACATCGTCAAGATGTAACATGCAATAATGGAATGGCAGCACTTTCTTCACAATCGCTGATGTCACTCGTTGACAGATCGATGACCACCTGGAATAATACAATCTGACTTTATTATCACTGATTCCTAGAAGTGGCTTATGTTGAAAAATAAAAAGAATTTTCTTGGAAAAAATGGTGTATTCATTTCTAACACAGGTACTTATTGAACCGCCCTCGTATGTACACACAGGTGAGATACACTTTACACCTATTGCACTTAATGCCTTTATGATCAACAACAATTTATCTTAACTACATACCCTGTCTCTAGACCCTCGACTTCGTGTTCTTATCCTGGAAGGTATTCTATACAAGGCTTTCAGTTCGTTGATACGTTTGTAAACCTCCATTCGCCGCTCCACACCGTTTTCTTTTATCAGCCAGTATGTCTGCATCTTTCCCTTACCCTGAAAATAGGTCATCAGCAGGTTAGAGGAAATGCACCTAATTCCGGATACCGAAGTATTTATAGAAGCACAGTCCTAAACCTAATGGTTTAGTTGTTTTTTCGAAATTTTACAAAATTTCAAATGTCTGCTGAAGTAAAAAAAATTCTACTACTAACATTACGTAAAAATTCGATATTTCCACAAAATGTTGCCATCCTGTGTCTCAAAAACGAAGCATTTTTGGCCCTATGTTTGTTCAATATAAACTTTGTCTTAGATTACCCAAAAATCAATCTTGAGGATTTCTCGGGTACTTCATCAACATATTCCAATAAAAAAGTGATAATATTGAGGAATTTACTTACTTACTTACTTTCATTTCTACCTCACCACGGTACTCAAGATCAAATGAACCAAAAGTTTCTAAGACGGTTTTTGTGGCAGGACTAACATGGATTTTCAGGGGAAGGCCATTAGACTCCATTCGAGAAGCGGTATTTACGGTATCCCCAAAAAGGCAATACCGAGGCATTTTGAGACCAACAACTCCCGCTACCACTGGCCCTGAAATTTTATAAAGTTTACTTACAATAACATACGGTGCTTTTCAAAAAGGGCCCAATACTTATTTTTGAAACGAGAAGATCGAATTTCGGTATAATGAAATTGATGCATCAAAATCACAATTTTGATATGTAGTTAGAAATTGGGACACCCTGTATAATGGCAAATATTTTAGAAGTGTGCCCTCAAATGTCATGTATAACATTCCATAAATAGATTTTCCCAAAATGTATTTGTTTATGAGTAATATTCCATCCACACATGGATCGGCCACCCTGTATATGTAGACTATTCTATTGAAAAAAAATCAAAATTTGTCATTATGTTCCGAGGTCCTCGAAGTAAATACTACTTGTAATACCCTGGTATCACACCAAACCCACGAGTTCAAAGCGCGCACGCAGCGAAGGAAAGCAGCTCACCGCTGCCACTAGCTTCCTCCTCTCTGGTTGCCTATACGCGCTCATTTTCTTCGTTTCGTTCGAAAAATAAGTAGGGGGAACATTTCTGAAAAGCTCTGTATGGTTGTGGCGCTTTCAAAGTTAACTATGGCCAGAGCGTATTATTTTATATGATACAACAAAAACGAGGTAGATAACGAACTGACCTGTATGTATACCGATTCTCAGCTGCAAAGGTTCGTTGGGTCTATGAGGAATATGGAATTCTTTGACTTCTTCTAAAAGTGCCAGTGCCATTCGAGCGATTTCTGCTGCATGGTGATATCCGTTTCGTTTAGGAAGACCTGATGCTACCATGTAGGCATCTCCGATTGTTTCTACCTAAATGAAGTTACTTTGTTTGCATAAAAGTTAATAACCTTGTGAAGAAACATAATAATGAACAGTCACAAATTAAAATAAAATCTCGGGAGCCTAAATCCGCTTTTTGAACTGCCTAAGTTTAGTAGACGTGGGAAAGGAGCAAAGTGCGTTGACATTGCGGTAGAAGAAAGCCAGATCAGTCGGTGCAGAAGGGTCCTGATATTGTCCTGTGTTCAATTCAACAGCCCTCCTCTTAGTAGCATCGATCATCGATAATGTAGTCGGGGCGGTAGCACCCCAGAGATATGAGCAGTACTCGAGGCTAGGTCTTATCTGTGCCTTGTCCAGAGTGAGGACGCTATGTTCTGTGTTCGTGCCATATCAACTCCTCCGTGTCCTGGATGACCGCTTGCACGCTTTCTGTTCGTCAGGGTACAGTACTGTGTTTTGGAAGCATTAAACTATACAAGATTGTTGCGTCCCCAAGCAGTGATAACCTACAGGTTAGTTAGTCACCGCTAGCCTTCTTTTCTCTAGCGCATTGGCAGAGATCGGCTTGTCGCTCTAACTTCCTGCATGTAGAGTGCTGTCATCAGCAAAGCTGTGGATCGGATTGATATGTAAGAGCCAAAACCGATCGCTGAGGAACAACCATCAATCTGTGATGTTCAAGATACCTCAGAAGAGACAAGATGCACTTCTGCCAACGCCGTTTCCACTGTTGATACGATCGCTGTCTTCGATTGTGAGGCTCTTCATTTGCTGTAGAAGCGAAATTTTTTCGACCGCGAAAAACAATCTGAAAAAACCGAAAGCTCAGATTCCGAACACTAGATGTGATCCACTCTGTAGTTGTGTTTTGCCACTCACCTTATAAACATCGTATTGTTCGATAATCTTGTCGAAAGTCGTGTAGAGATCGTTGAGCAAGTTGACAACTTGCAGCGGGGTGCTTTCAGCAGAAAGTGCCGTGAATCCGACGATATCGCTGAAATATATCGTGACTGAATCGAACGATTCAGCGCTCACTGATTCACCTTTTATCAGTTGTTGAGCGACACTCTTCGGTAGCAGCTGATATAACAAATCTTCGCACTTTCTTTTTTCTTCTAAGTAAGCCTGAGTACGCTCGTCTACCTTTTTTTCTAAGGTGTTGGCGTATTGTTCCATCCGATCTAGAAGGTTGTCCATCAAACATCCCCCATATCTGAAACAAATATGTTTAGGTGCTCAGTGAGAACCAACGAATTCAGACTAGGTAGAAGGACCAAGCCAACGATTTTTCTCCAAAATCTCAGTCAGGCTGCTGCAGCTTCGTTAGTAAGAGCTGCTAAAGTCTGTGGAGCGTGTTGCAAATTGAAGAGGCTGCAACCTATCATGTCCTAGACATGTTCAATTGGACATAGATCAGGCGATCGTGGTGGCCAAAGTAAACGGTTAATGCGATGTTGATCAGTATAAACTCTTTGTAATTAAAAATTATTTCCTACTTTTTAGTTCGGTTGTTATTGATTTGACCTAACAATCAAGTTGTTCGACAATATACGTAGTCATGCCATAAGTTCTGTCCCTCGTTTTCAAACAAGTGTAGACCTGTTAATACTTGTCCGATTGTTTAAATTGTGGTGTCAGTTGATTAAGCGCTTTTCGGGTAATTACATATACCTCAGTTTGTATTGATCTCTCGAAGCATAACGATGGAGTGGGGCAAGGCAGAGAACCGTATTGCAGTGATAGCTTTACATAAGTGTAATCACAGTGCTAGTCAGATTTTTGAACTCTTACGCGGCCTTCAAATATCGCGTAAATTTGTGTCTAGGACCATTCAGCGGTACAATGAGACGTCCTCTGTTGATGACAGGCCAAGAAGCGGAAGACCTCGTCAAGTAAGGACTCCAGCAGCCATCAAAGCCGTAAAAGCCAGGATTCAAAGGAATCCACTCCGGAAGCAGAAGATCCTATCCAGGGAAATGAAGATTCCTGTCCGGACGATGTCGCGCATCATTAAACAAGACCTAGGGCTAGGGGCTTACCGGAGACGTACGGGCCAGCGACTTACGGCCACCTTGCGACACATCAGGGCGACAAGATCCAAGAAGCTCTTGGAGAGGTACGCAGCTGGGGGATTCCGAAAGATTTTGTTCACGGATGAGAAAATCTTCACCATAGAAGAAAAATTCAACCGACAAAATGACAAAGTGTATGCAAGGAGTTCACAGGAAGCTTCGGAGATCATTCCGAGAGTTGAGAGAGGCCACCACCCTGCGTCAGTCATGGTTTGGTGGGGGGTGTCCTACGAAGGGGTCACTCAGCTCCATTTCTGTAAACAGGGCGTGAAAACAAAAGCGGCAAACTATCAGAGCGACATACTGGATCCTATCGTCAAGCCTTTAAGTGGTACATTGTTTGCCAACCAACACTGGGTCTACCAGCAGGATTCCGCCCCCGCTCACAAGGCTAAGAGTACGCAGCGCTGGCTGGAAAGCAATGTGCCAGAGTTCATTGCTGCGGAAGATTGGCCCTCAGGGAGTCCGGACCTCAATCCTTTAGACTACAAGTTGTGGGACCTGCTAGAGCAGTTGGCCTGCTCCAAAGCCCACCGTAATATCGAGTCCCTGAAAGCGGATTTGATCCGATCAGCGGCAGCTATTCCTTTGGAAGCTGTGCGTGCAGTGATAGATGAGTGGCCCGCGAGATTGAAGCAGTGTGTGAAGGCCAAGGGGGGACATTTTGAATAAAACTGTTTGATTATGAATTCTAAAAATGTTGTCGAATAAATAATATCTTTCATATAAATATATCTTATCTTGTTTCATTTTTATCATGAGATTATCATGGGACAGAACTTATGGCACGACTACGTAGTAGCCAAAAAGCTTCCTTTACCTACTTTTTATTTAGCTGGTTTTTGATCGCTGCGAAATCAGGACGTAGATCAGGATCTTCTGACCAACATTTTTTCATCAGTTGTAAAACTTCGGTTTTATCATCTGGGTCATACGCCTTACTAGTTGGTATGAATGGACGAAGAACGCGTCGGTTATCATCCGGACCTTTCTTCACTTGTTCGCATTTGACTGAAAAAAAGTATGTCAAGAAGATTTAGTCCATTCATTGAACAACATTTTTCCCTAAAATAAACTCCCTGTGTAAATAGTGAAAACAAAAAACCACTTGGTAAATAATGTCATTTAAAATTGCTTGCTTCATTGCTTCGAAGTTGAGTCATTTATTTTAACAGTGAGTAGATCTGATCAAAATAAATGTTTTTTTCCTTTACCATTTTTCTGGTAAAATTAAAGTAACAAAGTTATAGCCCTTTGGAAGTTTGAGTACCGCCCTGTCTCAATAATAATATCATGTGCTCGTGTTTGGCAACAACGGATATAATCCACCGTATCGGTTTATCGCATCGGAAACAAAAAAGCGAAAGAATTTGGAACGATGTTTTTACAATTATTTTATTCAGTTCAGTTATACATACAGTCAGTGTCAGTCGCGTGTGAATAGTGTCTGTTGCGTGGCTCAGACGAAATAAAAAATGGCACATGTTTATGCGGATCGGTTTCCCAATCGAGTGCAACCAACCCCTCGTGCCTTTGTTAATGTAGTACAACGGGCTCGTGAATCAGGTGACTTAAGACCTCACAGGGGACCTCACGATCAAATACAGGTCCGCACTGAAATACTTGTCGGGAGGATACTTTATAAAACAAGGTAAACATTTTTTTTTAATTCTTACACGCATATTTTGGTTTATCTTCCTTCTACAATCATTATCTGAAAATTAATGACTCAACTTCAAAGTCACCCTGTATATGTAAAAGTGCTAAATCAATGTCCTACTTCCCAACCCAGGCACGTAATATACTATTGTTTATCATAACCGCGCACACTGTTCAAGATATTTTAGTAGGTCCAAAAAAGATGCAAACACAGTTTTTTTGACAAATGCAATTCTAGAATATAAGCAAACAACACCCATGATTATATGAACTTTTCTTCGCATTTTAACTTGCAAAATCTGCCTTAAATTTTCCTGACAGTATTGTATATTTCTACTACTTTTATTATACCTCTAGCATCCATGTGATCATCTAGGTAGAATACTCCTTCTCTTACTATAATTTCATGCATTATTATGCCAAACGAATAAACATCACCTTTCTGGGTTCCTTGTGGAGGTTTGTGATCCAGTCGCAAAAGTTCTGGGGCAGTCCAAAGTTGACCTGAAAATGCATTTTTCTCAATACTAATCACAATTGTAGGCTGCGACTTTTCTCTCCATTTCAAGGTAGTTGTAAAATAAGTTGTACAACCTTGCATCTTGTGGACGGTCGAGGCCCAGCTCAGGATTAATGCCAACATTCGCAATGAACAAGGTGAGAATCACTGCCTTGAAAAAGTATCTGCTTTTGTTGTGCTGTGCCGAGTACCTGAACCAACAAAGAGTGAGTCCGAAGCACGCATGCGCAGATCGCGCGCTAGCTCTATCTCTCTTACTACCCTAAAGAGGATCTATAAAAGAATGTATCGGTCCTGGCGGTTCCAATAAGAATAATGGAAAACTGTTATCAATGTTAAAAATGCTTACGTTCCCAAAAAGCATGCGAGTGTTCATCCAAGCCCCCAACTCGCAAAAAATGGAGACCAAAATCTGCAATTTTCAGTACAAATCTGCTGTCCACCAAACAATTTGTTGATTTCAATGCACCGTGTGATTTTATTGGGCTTCGATGTAAATAGAGCATTCCTTTTAACAAGTCCATTATCAAGAGCATATCAAAGCTCCAATCCAGTGGTACTTGCTCTTTCTCTAGGACATCCTGCAAAATATTGTTTGTATTGTATTCAATCGCAGTCAAACCCTTTTGCATAGTATGTCAAAACTAGAGAACACTAACATGCTTGAAACAATATGTCATTAAAAAATTCTGAAACCATTGATGCCCTGTATAATCCGCCGATTGGCACTTACTTGTAGGCTACCTTTTGGACAATATTCTGCCAGAATGCATGCATTGTTAGGACTATCTAGACATAAGCCATAAAATTTTACTAAGTTGTCGTGTGACAAATCTTTCATGATCTTGAGTTCTACCAACTGCTCATGCGAGAATTCAATCTTGTCCACGTCTGGTAGTTCTTTCACCGCCACCCTGATAGACTTGTAGAAGCCAACAGTCGCATATAACTGGGTTCCACCAATAATACTGTCACCATCCATTTCTGTCTAGAAAGTAAAATTGAATAAGTGAATAAATTAAACGCTTTATTCCAAAGAAACATACACACACCCGGTGGAACTCTAGGGTAGGGCCAGAATGTGTGTATGTGCCTAGATAGAGTCCGCCTAAGCACCACAATACCCATATACTTGAGCCTTAGGCCCGCGAGGTGACACAAGTATATAAAAACTATATTAACGCTGCACGTCTCGAGTGTCGATCCCCGAGCGACCGCCCGATGTCACCAGTAAATTGACTTGCGTTGACGCCACCTATGCGCAATCCACGTGCTCGGTGAAAACATAGACGTGCGGCGTACATTTTACTATGGGCTAGTTTGAGATGTAGAACTGTAGATTCTTACGATATAATAATAAACATTTCACGTTCTTTATTTACAACACTTGGTGTTAAGCGAACATACAGTGCTTTTCTTTAATGCCCCCTTTGATTTTTTGAGCGGATCAATTCAAAAAATTAAAACTTTTGTGTGTCATGAATATTGACCTACCTTTACTGATGCCGAACTAGCCCGTCTTCTGGTTGACACAAAAGTGATCTCGTCGTAATGAACTTTCCATGCTTTTGCTTCGATCTCGGCTTTCAACTTTATTTGTCTATATAGTATCAACAACACTATTGTGAGCCCAATAATTATAACTGATATTAGACACATGGCAAGTATCTTCACAACATCGTACGCTAAACAGAAAAGATATCCAGTTTACAAGCAATTATTTGTGAGTGGTTCCAAAATTCAGGTTTTGGCCCATTTTACAAGAACTTGTCACTCACACGAGACATAGGATTTTGGGGACCCGATACATTTTCTGAAACTTCGCTATCTTGTATTGAGTCGAAAGCTCTATACACATTGACCTCTTAAAAAGTTGAATCTGGTTGAGATTGGATTCCATAAAAAGCATGTACTTGAATAAACCCATAGTTCCCGTTGGGGGGCCGATTAGGCAGCCCATACGATGTCGACTGGTGGTGGCTGGTATCCCGCCAATTGATTTCGCAGCGGAGAGATGCGAGCTCTATAAAAAGGACGCCGAAGCTAGAAACAACGAAAGAGATGCGCTTTTTGGCAGTAGTTGCAATGAAGAGGAGGATATTTCTAATCACATACTACAATGTGGTAGGTGGGTTGACTACCAGACACAGCTGGAACTGAGGCTTGGCGACAGGCTCACCGCTGACAGTTTTGCATGTTCGCGAGGGAACATGGGTTGATATTCAAGCAATAGTGAGGTTCAGGAAAACATGAATCAAGAAACCAATAGTAGGGCTTTCATGCAAATTTTAGAAGGAGTCACGGGCGCCTGTGAGAACGGCTCAATCAGTGGTACGTATTCATATTACTTACTGGGACACTTCGATAAGTCGTATCCGCATTTGGGCGTGTCCCTAGGATCTCCACTAGGCCAGGTCACATTCCAATAAGTGATTGTCTTGTTGAGCGTATTGTAAAGTGCGACAATCTCATATTCACCATTCGAGTTGACGTGTAACATGGCGTAAGTACACCCGGTCCTTTGGGCATTGCAGTTCATCAGTATATCGTCACGTTTACCTAAATTAAATATAACTCTACAGACTAGACGAAAACCTCTCATTCCATAATCACGTTCGTTAGATGTCCCCAACAGGAATCAAGAGGTTACCGAGTGGTAACCATGTGCAAATTTGCTCAAACAATAGCAGATTGCGCAAGTTAGGCGTTCTGAAAAACAAAATGTGGACCAAGTCAGTCGACCAGGCCCATTCATTTAGTCCATAAGCCCCCGCCCATTTGGCAACTTTGCGATCTACAATTTTCCTCTTCCACTACCGAAAGTACCGACCATCTGGCAACGTTGCACCAAAAAAGCATGGACTTGTGCTTGAGATATCTCTCTAATCTTTGAGCATAATTTTCACCAATTTCCAGAAGTTTCATTAATCTGAAACTTCGCACACGTATCAAGCCCCGGCGACCTCTTGATTAATATTAAAAGGCATCCAACTAACGTGGTTTTAAAAAATCGTCCAGTTTGTAAGTGGTTCCAAAATTCAGGTTTTGTCCCATTTTACAAGAACATGTCATGCATTTTGGAGACCGGATAAATTTTCTGAAACTCGTCTATCTTGTACATTTTCTATCCCAGTTGAAAGCTCTATAGGGCCATCGTAAAGCACATTGACCATTTAAAAAGTTGAAACTGGTTAAGATTAGATCTCATAAAGCGAATGAGCCCATAGTTCCCCTCGGGGGGTCAATTAGGCAGCCCATACGGTGTCGACTGATGCATTGCTGGTGGTGGCTGGTATCCCGCCAATTGATTTGTTGGCTGAGGAGAGATGCGCGCTCTATAAATAGGGCATCCAACTAACGTGGTTATAAAAAAAACGTGATAGAAAATGTTTCCTGAGAATGCGAAATGTTCGTATCTTCTCACTGCTTTAAAAGAAAACAAGAATACTCCAGGAATTGAAACAAAAGACTACACTATAATATGTATATTAAAAACCCAATTTTATATGGCTTGTGTCTAGAATTTGGATACTGAAAAATGGACGAATTTTGGACAAAAATGCCAAAATTGCGTGGGTTGAGCTTTTAAAGGACAAATCAAGTATTAAAATAAAATCATGTTGATGAACGTTCTGGAATATTTAAATAAACAATTTTCCTGGGTGCGATCAACTTGAAATTGTGCTATTTCCAGAGAAAACCCCCATATGGACCTTCACACCTTATATTTTTTCTATGTCTGTAGCTTACCTTTGAACTTTTTTCCTGTCATCGCATACACCATCTCACAACCTGCTATCATCTGTCTCTTGTAGTTTCCAGCTTGGTCTTTTTCTAAAGCATTAGTCAAAGCTTGAATATACATAAGCATCCCATCGTATAGTCCTTCTAAGTATAGAGACCCTCTTGTGGTCTGATTAGAAACATCGTCAAACTTGGTTTCTGGATAAGGCAAGATAGTGTATACATGTTCATACCCTTTTCTTGCTAAAATATTATTTTCTCTATCGCTTTCAACGTACCATGGTCTAGATGGCATAGGTGCACTGAAAGAATGTAGAGGCTATCAAAAATTATAAGCTGAAATTTTGTGGTTCAGCTCTTGAAATGATACTGGATCACTTTTTGACAAAATAACCAGTGTATGTTTTTACGTTTTTAAATTGGGTAAAAGTTTTTCCAAGTTAAGCAAAAATTTGTAGTGAGTAAGTAAGTTTCATTAAATTAAATATTTAAAACACACATGACAACAGCGCGTCGGTCTTTCGTCACTCTTATCGAACCGGCAATCGATCGCAAACGGTAACAGTGGTTAGATTTTGTTCGCGAAGATCATTTCCATTCGTGAAGGTCATTTCCAACAGCGTTTTAAAATAAATATTTGGGCGGGTATTCTTGACGATCAGGTAATTCAGTAATTACGTAATTACGGTAGTTCAGGCACACGACGTTATCGATTTTCAACTTACCAGTTGTATAATTCAACACTAAAAAATGTGTATTCCCCTCTATCCATCATATTCAACTTTGTGGCTTCTATAATCATCTTTCTGACGTTTAGACAGCTGGCACACATTAAAATGACTGTAACAAAAATCAAAACTCATCACAGAATTACAAAAAAAATATAAATCTTTTACAGTTGTATTTGAAGATTCTGAGGAGAAAACCAACTCGATTATTTTTTATGATTACGTTTGTCGGATGCCTCCTTAACATGAATCGAAATGCTGCCGGGGGGTAAGTAACCCCAAACAGTTTTCCATCAAATCACAGTAAATTGGTTGTTTGTTCCGACGAATGATTTTTTTAGGTTTCTTGGATCAATCTGAACAAAAAGGTACTTAGTGACGTCTCTAAAGGTTCACACAGGTCAACTGGGTTTGTGGTCTTCTGTCTTATGGGTAGTATGCATATAAGATTTATCCAAAGTACGGTACAACGAACCATCTCAGATAGCGAAGGTTCCACTTATTTTAATATACAGGGTGTCCGCAAAGTTGAGGTTTTCCTTTACACGACGTGTAGATCTTAAAAACATAAGCAACTTTTCTTAGTACCATATACACCAATGTCTTAGGGGAACCGAGATAAAGGGCTCTGCAACATCAAAAATATCTGAATACCGTCCTGTAGCCGCGACCCGCGACATCACCGAGTGGTACAAGGTCACTGGCTCAACCCGACGACAAAACTAGGTAGGGGTCAGTGTGTCAGGTCAGTATGCAACCTTCAACCGACGGTTACGGTCACGCGTAATGGGGTGAATAACTTTCGCAACACTCATGTTTGGTCAGTAGAAAATCCGCACGCTGTCCGTCGGGCAACAAACATTTTCGGTGAATTTTTGGGCTGGCATGGTGAACGGTATGCTCATTGTACCATTCATTCTCCCAAATCGATTGGACGGGATGCAATACCTAGACTTTTTACGCAACATTTTGCCTTCCTTGTTTGCCTGCGTCTGCTCGGTAACGCATCAGCTGATTTCATTTTCTGTTGGAGCGGTATGATTTCGGGCAGAGACGTACTTAGCCCTTCTCGTCAACTGGAGAGTGAGTACTTTTTCCTTTATTTTTTTTTACTTGGTCGCCCTCGTTTCACTACACATTACCTTTGTTATTTCAAGGGTAGTTGTTTCTGAAAAGGAAAACCCCAACTTTGCGGACACCCTGTATACTAAGTGACGTATAAAATGCAACACTCAGAATTATTCAATGAATGTTGATAAAAACTTGTAAATATGTTACAGTAGCTCAGAGGTAAACAGCCGTAAGTCCATTTTGACTCAATTTTGAGGTATTCTATATTGCCTCAAAATTAAAATATACTATGTTGTTAAACACCGCCTTTTTGATGTTGATATTTTCAATTTTGAAAGCTGAAGCTGTGCTGAAATTTTTGCTTGTTTCAAACAACAACAAAGTCCAATTGGCTTAACAGCTGATGCCAACAGATCATGCACATATGCCAATTGGATCCTTGGCCAACAGTATATGATGGTGATTTTGTAGACAAAATCATTTTTAGCGATGAGGCCCATTTTCATCTCGATGGCCTCGCCAATAGACAAAACTGCTGAATTTGGGACACAGAGAATCAAAGAGTAATTCATGCGAAAGCTATGCATCCAAAACGTGTCACTGTTTGGTGTGCACTGTGGTCTGGAGGAATTATTGAGGACGAAGCAGGTAATCTACCAACAGTGACTGGCGAACATTATCGTGCAATGATTACTGAGTTTTTTGTTCTACAATTTGAAGTCATGGCTCTTAATGACATATGGTTTCAGCAGGATGGTGCCATATGCCATACTGCTTATGAAACATTGGCAGTTTTGCACAAGTTTACTCCTTGTCGAGCGATTTCCCGGTTTGGTGATCAGAATTCGTCGCCACGCTCTTGCGATTTAACACCTGTAGACTTTTGGCTTCGGGGTTATCTGAGGTCATAAGTTTATGCCGACAAACCTGCAACCACCGAAGCATTGAAAGCTGAAATCAGACGCTGTATCAACGAGATACCACGACATATGTTCAAAAATGTTACCACAAAGTTTATTAATAGAGTGCGCATGTGTCAGCGGAGCCGTGGCATCCATTTACCTGATCTGTTGTTTCATAGATAATTCTAAAATGTATACACCATAATCCAATGAATATTTTAGTTGCTTGTTACGAAATATCATGTTTAATAGAAGCTAAAGTGTTAAAAGTATTGCAGCACTCCTAGTCGGTGTTGCATTTTCTATGTCATTTAGTATACATATGATTCCCTGGATTATAAAGGCATTGATATAAAATAAGTATTTACTTCCATAATCAACTCCAACCTTAGTCTTGAAGAAGTTCGTGTAATCACCTCCTAAGACCCCAACGTCTCCGTCTACATAATCCAAATTCAAATTTTGCAATTCGGTCATCAGGTTTCTCATAAATAAATAACATGCATCTTCGCCTGCTACTTCCATTTGGGCTTGCTTTTCGTACATAAGTACTACTTTTTTCAGTTTATAACTGAAACAACATTGTATTGTAATGTTCAATGAAATACTCTCCTGACGTTTCGGCTACTATGGTAGTCCAAATCACTGGGCGATGGAGAATTGTGATCGCGAAAAATTTCGAAAACAAGATGTTTTTTCGGTCCTGTGCGGCAGGAGAAAAAGTCCAAAACTAAATAAATGGTTCAAACCTTGTTTTTTGAGGGTGTTGTACATCCCGGTACAATCAGCCGATATCACCCTGTACATGAACATTCACACCACCCTGTACACTCAATCCAAAGTGACGCCAGCGTGTGCGCATGTGCAGACAGACATTTTGGTGGTACGATTTCGTTGCTCGCCCGGCTACCCCGTTGGTGAAATCGTGAACCAGGAATGAAAAAACTCCGCTTGATGCTTGAACCTCTGGCTCTGGACACAACACGTCGCTTATACATTATAAGTTTGTATCCAGTCCAAACCCGATATATGCGACATGACGAGCATACAAAACAGAGGGCTTAAAAGATCTTGATCATTTTTGAAAAAAATGGGGGTGGGGGAGGGCATCTCTCAATTTTTTGATGTTAGTATATTTATACGCTCCCAACCCCGATAATCTACGCACCCATCGTAGGTTTCCCCGTCGATTTGTCTTTAAAACTTTCGATACGCGTCTCCTGCTATCTGCGGCGGTGCTTCTGTGGGCGTCTGACGATATGGAAAGGGACAACGTTGCCAGATGGGCGATAACTACCGTTCAGGCAGGGAAGGAATATCCATGGACTAATTGTATGGTTCTATTTGTCTGACTTGATTACCCAAAATTCAATCAATAATTGTATACTTTCTTACCCATTAAAGATCATATGCAAGAACTCTGCATAGGACCTCATATCTGCTTGTCCAGAATTTATTACTGAGTACATCTCATGTGTATAATCTGTTTTATTTGACGTAAAATCGTGGCTAAATCCGCCTGGTGTAATCAGGGGTGCCATGACGTATTTGGCTGATCTTCCCAATGTTGCTGAAAATATCGTTTTCATCATTATCCATACAAAGTGCATTTTTAAACAAGTACATAAATAGTAGGAAGTCAATCATCATCAGGTTGGATTTCTTTATTTGTCTTTTCATCCATTTTATCGTTGATTATATGTCCTTATAAATGAGTCCTGGGCTTTATGGGTCCATCATCAAGTTCCTCGAGCTCGAAGTAGTTAAAATCGGTTAAGCTTAGATTCAATAACAATTATAAATACTAATAAGCCCCTATAGCATCGAGCTTCAGACCTATATACGTGGTAGTTATCGCCTTACTTATAATTATTTGGATCTTCTGGAAGTTCGATAAGCTCACCTAACGCATAGTCGCACATAGTTCCAAAAATGACATGGATACAGCTGTTATTTTGTATGGCGCGTATAACGCTACCAGATGTTTTCTCCTGGTTACAACCATCATCGTAGTAATTATAGATGAACGTTATGCTTTCAGATAGGATTTTTTCAGATCTACTTGCTTCTTCTGCCTCTTTCAAAATAACGCTTGCCTACAAAAATCTGAAGTTTATTCAGGATAGAGCAAAAATCAAAGGGGATTGATTGAGGATAAAACGCGCATATTATTCAATTAACGTTGTAATGAAGTGCCATAGCTTTGTTCACATGCCATATAAAGTTTCTAATATCTAGCTTCATGGTGTTTTCACAATAGGGGAGGTTAAACCTTTTCATAAGAATAATGTGGGATTTTATCCCAAATGTTCAAACCTAAGTATCTTCAAAACGAGTGACCTGACAAAAATTCGTTAAGAGACAAAATATATGGTATATTGAATGGTGTTTCATAAAATGTATTTGTTTTCTCGGAAACGGCCAGTGGCGTAGAAAATATTTATTATAAGGAGTCCAGGTACCCCAGTTTCTACGTCACTGGTTTAGTTTGAGAAACTCTTTGTAATCATTGCTGATGATGTGCCCGCTGAACGTCTAAAATCCTAACTAAGTAACTCTACCCGCTACCTAGAGATATATTTTTCGTAAATAAAACTTTATCACCCTCTTTCTCGGTAGGGGTATTTATAGGGATTTTTTTGGATGTACTCTCTACCCTAGGAATATTGGCACGGTTTTCTGAAACACCCTGTAGAAGATTCGAAAATTATACACTGCCACACAAAATTAACGGGACAAACAAATTTTTGTTCAAATTAAATTTTAAATAACTTTTTAACCTTTGCATCAATTTCGTTAATTGTTCGTCAAGTTGTAGGTAATTTCGTTGTCAAAATTTGAAAATGTTTGTTGTTATACAGGGTGTAAATAAAAGGTGCATTTTGCCCTAAATTTCTGAACACCCTGTGGAAAAACTGGATTACTAAATAATGTGTCTTCGTATGAGAATTTCAAGCCTCAACTTTTCTCAACAGTTCTTTATTTGAATCATGTCAATATCTCAATTATTGAAGAATATATGCTGTTTTGAAGAAAATCATGCGAATCGTAGCCATAAACAAGAAATTGTATCAATCAGGCTTTGCCGGGTAAGAAATTGTTTCAAGTAGGCTGTGTCTGTTAGCATGTCAAAAAGATTCTTGTCAAGCAATACTCAACAAAAATGACACCGGAACAGGGACCTGGGCAGGGACGACGGAAAGCAACAAACTTAGTTGAAGATCGGTTTCTGAGACTTCAAGCTCTTCGAGAGAGGACAGTTCCTGCTACAGCTTTGATTCGAAGATTGGATGATGTTCATGGTATTGGAGAGTTTTTCTGGGTTCTTTTTGGGTGTGGATTAAAACACTGGATTCTACAAAAAGAAATGCACTAATACGTATTCCGTACTCTCGCGGCCGTCGGGTTATATAGTCCGCATCGTTTGTCGAGAAGAGTCTGGCGGGCCACAAAGCGGAAGTTTAGACTCTTCGAGATCACTTCGCGTCGATCTAGAAGGCGATCCACTGTTACGGTCCTAACAGACGCCGCCAGGCGGCTTGTGCGCCGTGGTACGCGCAAAAGCAGAGATCGGCATTTAGGCTCTGGCGAGTACGAGACTCGCCCAACAGATGATTTAATTGAATCTATGACAGAGAGGATGAGAGCTGGTATTCAAGCCCGGGGAGGAAATACTCGCTTTTGATAACGATTTCTAATTACCAATGATGTCACTGTAATTTTCCAAGTTAAAGTGTTTATGTTTATGATTTGCATAGTTTTCTTACCACTATATTTTTTTTAATTAAATTGTTTATGTCTATGATTCGCATGATTTTCTTCAAAACAGCATATATTCTCCAATAATTAACATATTGACATGAAACAAAAAAAGAACTGTTGAGAAAAATGCTCAGACGAAGACACATTATTCAGTAATCCGATGGTTCCGCAGGGTGTTCAGAAATGTAGGGCAAAATGCGCCTTTTAGTTACACCCTGTATAACAACAAACATTTTCATTTTTTTGCAAAATCGGCAGTCGATAATGATGACCTACAAATTGACGAAAAATTTAACGAAATTGATGCAAAGGTTAACAAGTTATTTCAAATTTAATTTGAACAAAATTTTGTTTGTCCGTTTATTTTTGCGTGGCAGTGTACTTTTATATAAATAATGCTTATCGTTACAAAGTAAACGCTCTTTTAAAAACACTTTTAGCTATTTTACATGTCTTTATAAATCAATAATAAAAAGGAGGTCCAATTTCGGACACTTCCTCTACCTATATAGGAGTGATTACCCTTTTTTGATTGACAATATACTCATCGGACTCCGGTATAATGACAGCTACTCTGACAGTGCACTGTCCGTCATCTCCGCACAAATAACAATCATTTTCTTGAGTGGCATTCATGCACTGCCTTGGCATCTGCTGGCAGCCGCTAGTCTTCCAGGGCTTCTGCATCAGGACGCTGTTGTTGAACTCCATGCAGGGCACTACTGATGCGCTGAAGATGGTCGCCAAAATGGAGATGGTAAGAGAGGAAACCGACATCACATCGGGCATAGGTATGCCGATCACGACATATTTCGACGAACGATTTAAACTAAGAGCTAGCGATAGCCACTGATAGCAGGTACTGATAGTATATCGGACCGATTGATAATATTTTTAACTGGATGATCGACTTTCAATAAAAGCGTTTTAATTGTTTAATACAGTGACGTACTGTACGGGTGTGTTACGCGAAACAGACACCAGATTTAGAGTTTTTCGACGTTAGTCGAGGATCTCTCGCCATAGGGACGTATACGCCACTTTTGACCAAAATCAGGTTTTTTCGATACTTAATAGTATGACGCATAATCTAGCCAAACGGTTTGCAGATTTGTAGTATATTTTGGCAAAAAAAAAACAAAATTATAAAGGCGTAAAGGCCAATCTTACAAGTTTCAGTACGCCATAGAGGCGTATGAACCATTTTTAGGTAAATACGAATATGTAAAATTTTCATTAATCACCAGTTGCAAAATTCGTTGACTAAAAAGGGACTAGTAGACAGACGAGCTGACTACAGTACTAGCCCAACAAACAAAATTACAACAGAGGAGTTCTTAACCAAATTATATAAGCTAATATTAATAATTAATAAATAATAATTACAAACGTCAAAAAAATATATGTACTCGTATATAAAAATTATATAAAAAATATAATTTAGCGAAAAATGTCGAATCATTTCAGGCAGATTTAACAAAAAAAAAATTAAAATATAAAAAGGAAAGGAACAATATAAAGTAAACACTACAATTCATCTAATAGAAATTTTCTGTAACTTCTTTTAAAAGCTGACTCAGACAGGTTTGTGGGGACGTGCTTGTACAAGTGGTAGATAAAATGAGAAAAACATCATATAAAATGATAAAATGAGTTAAACATACAGGGTTTGTCCGGAAAGTAATAAGACTGAGTCGATTTAAAAAAATTATTGAGCCAATCGTTCCAAACGTTAAAAACTTTCAAAATATACTCCTTCTGCGTCGATGCAGCGCTTCCAGCGCGATTTCCAAGCAATGTCGTCTCAAAATGCTTGCCTTTCATCGGCCTTTTCAGGCGAGGAAACAAAAAAAGTCCGAGAGGGCAGATCTGGGCTGTAGGGCGGCTGCGGAAGCGTTGGGATGTCGGTCTTGGTACAGGTAGCTGTTCACAAGCAAGGCGGTGTGAGCCGGAGCATTGTCGTGGTGCAACTTCTAGTCGGCTGCGATGTCTTGTCGGACCCGACTGACCCTTCGTTTGAGTCTCCTGAGCACTTCCACGTAAAACTTGACGTTGACGGTTTGTCCAGGAGGAACAAATTCATGGTGGACGATGCCTTTGATGTCAAAAAAGACAACGAGCATCGTTTTCTTCCCTTTTTTGGTCGAGGAGACGCCGTCGTGTGCCACTCGGAAGATTGCCTCTTTGTCTCGGGCTCATACTCAAAGATTCACGACTCGTCACCTGATTACGTTATTAAAAAATTGGGGGTCACTTTCACACATGTTCAAATTTTCTTGGCACGCTTCCACTCGCCGCAATTTCTGGTCGTCAGTGAGCACTTTTGGGACCATCTTCGCGCACACCTTGCGCATGTTCAAATGCTGTCTTACAATGTCATGAACCACAGATTTTGGTAAATTTAACATCTGGGCAATTAAACGAATACTTAGTCGACGGTCTGAGTTCAAAAATGGGATCTAAAATGAGGGGAAACGTGAAAGTTCTAAAATACTTTACTATAATATAGAGGGTGTTCCTTAATGATATGCGAATATTTATGGCTGTGAATCTACCTTATATCAGTGAAATATCTGAAGCGGTTCTTAAAATATTAATTAATTTCCATTTTTTTCCCCTAAAACTTCAACACCCCGAGTTTTTGTAAGGAAACATTTTTGGACCATAGTTTATAAAGCAAACTAACATTAATTTAATTAATTTATAATAGGTTTTTATTGAATGTTTTTCAAAGACTTTGCAATGTTGCCAGATTTCATTACTTCAATATGGCAATATCGCGGTGTGTATAGGATCCGTTTCATTCTGCAAATGTCGTGATTAGGAGGGTGTTTATACCTTTTAAAACCTAGATATTATAAACAATATTCTGCAACTAACCCATTTGTGGGCATTTTTAATCTCATTTACAATCCAAACCTAGTGCCCATTCGGAAGGAGAAGCAAAAAAGACTGGTGTAGCTAACTCGATGATTACCGAAGCGTAGGCTGTTCCGCACATAAATTTTCTTGTAGTCTCATTCGTTTTAGCATATTTAAATTCCAAATATTCCAGTCCCATTTTGTTCAGGTTTCACAAGCGAAAACCAGGCGTGGCATAACTATCACATGACCAACGACCTCTGTTGATTGAACGAACGTCACACTTGTCTCCATGCTAACCCAATGTTCCTGCTTATTAGTGTTCTATGAAATCTTTCAACTGTCATTCATCCCCAACTTTCGTTTGTTCGTCCCGCTTTTTTTAACGGTTTTTCGTCTAAATTCCATTCCAGCTTTGTAAATTTTCTTCTAGTTACCGAGCTTTTATAAGTTGTAAATTGCGTTTGAAAAAAGAAGTGATGGATCGCGACAATGCTTCTAGCTCTGATGAAGAGCGTAGGAAACAGAAGGCACAGGCAGGGAGGCCCCCTCAAAGGCATCGCCCCGGAGTGCCGAGGAGATCAAATCCTCGACCAGTGGTCCCTCTGACCCGTCGTCATTCGTCTCACGAATTGAGAAGCCAAGTCCAGGCAGTAAGTAGTCTTTATGGATGGGAATATTGGTGATCAATTAGCCTTGTTCAGGTTCTACAAGGAACGGTTTTGCGCTTGTTCTAAAGATCACTGTGGAACCACTGACACTGTATATAAAGCTGGTGTGAGCATTGCTACTTCTAGGGAAGCATACATCACTTTTCTGAATGTAGAATTTTCATCTTATTCTCTTATTGTGCAATGTCTTGGCCACCATCATGTATCTGCTTGAAAATGTGCCAGCTGAGACATCATACAATAAACAGTAAGCAGCCTATGGCACTATACTCTCAATGTGGAGAGTGGTTATAATCTAAGGAATACATACTGTCTGCGTACCCCTCAACGTAGCCTTGCTTTTTCAGCAAATGGTCCCCACATAATGCCTATCAGATTGTTCAACATTGAAGAATACTTAACATGAGACTTGTGAATTGTATTATGGCAAACAATTAATTTTTAATTTGTTTTCAATCTGTTCGTCCTTCTATTTTTGTTTTATTTGTTATTTATTCACATCTTTTTAATTTGTTTGTTTAAATTAACAACTTTTTAGGTATTTTCCTTTCTCATTCATCGTTGACAATTTGCTGATACTTTTTCAAGTCAAATGGCAATAAAGATATTTATTCATTTATACCTTATTCTAAGATTTTCATATTTTCTCTTCTCTACAGGCGTTTCTCCCCAGAGTGAGAGCATCTAGAAGCCAGAGTGCTCACAGATTTGGAGAGATTGTTCAGAGCCTTGGAGCGCACCCAATATTTACCTGTGTTGTAGAATTGCGCAGAGCACTGTCAATTAATCCTCAGGCGGCTTTCTTACTTCAAGAGATGCAACTTCAGGACGTCTTGCACCTCATCGAGGAAGACATGTTCGAAATGGGCTTGATTGATCAGGTACATATCAGTAGCTGTTCATATTCATCTAAAACACTGGCTGCTCAACTTTTTTAGTTTGTCTCCTTCAAAGTACTTCTCTCTCCTATTGATGCATTGCTTTTGTTTCGATGAATATTAAGTCAAATACATTGCAGGTGAACAGGAGTGATCAGGAAACAGATGATGATGACATTGAGGAACATGTCGTCCCGCGCATGCATCCTTGCAGGATTTGTCGCCTTCTCTGTCCTGATCGCGTTGAAGTGTGCGCAGCCTGCCGGGCCAGGAATGACAATATCGAACCTTCTTCTTCTTCTTCTTCTAGCGCCTAAATGTTTATGCCCATCGTCTTGTGCAATTTGTTATAGAATGTATGTAAATTTTTAATTTGTGTTCATGTTTTTTTAGTTTTACTATACGAGGCAGTCAGTCGTCATAGGTACGTTAAGTTAAAATGTTTGTTCAATTTGTTTGCTAGCTTCTTAAAAAAAGATCGCTTTTAGTAACTATTTTCAATACCTTACTACTAATACCGTTTTAACTAGTATAGTTTATAGTCCATGCGCATCTCAAAATATAGATAAACAGAGTGCTCCTCGTATAGTGTCAGTTATACCCCAGTTGTGTGTAAAGACTGATATTAATGGAAGAGATGCTGGGAATACCTTTGCACCTTGAATCTAAAGCATACTCTTCCACTGTAAAGATAAGATATAATACACCAAAGATGAACTATAGAATGTGATAACTGTTGTGATTCTATTTAAAATATGTAGGATTCTTGCCATAAAGTTATTAGTAGTAGTATCTTTATGAATAGCTAAACAATACAATATATATAATGTTATCTAAAACTAACACTATTTTCTACATAGATTCTCAATTGTCTTTTGAATTTGACAAAATTTGATTTCTGTAAAACCCCTGACACTATATATCAAGCTGGTCTTAGCATTCCTACAATTAAAGAAGAATGCAAGCTAGATATTTCTACAAGGCCGTAAAAACACAACACATATTTGTTACAATAAAGTCAATTATACTTGAAAAAGGCCACTGTGATGGTTATTCTAAGATCTTCATATTTTCTGTAATAAACAGGAAGCAAAAGATGACAATGAGGTACATGTTGTCTCTCGCATGCATCCTTGCAGAAACTGTCACCTGCTATGTCCTGATCACAATGAAGTGTGTGCAGCAACTAGTATAGTTTATAGTTCATGCGCATCTCAAAATATACATATAGTTCAGTTAAAGCCCAGTTATGTGTAAGAATTACTGTAAAGACTGATATTAATGGAAGAGATGCTGGGAATACCTTTACACCTTGAATCTAAAGCATACTCTTCCACTGTAAAGATAAGATATAATACACCAAAGATGAACTATAGAATGTGATAACTGCTGTGATTCTATTTAAAATATGTAGGATTCTTGCCATAAAGTTATTAGTAGTAGTATCTTCATGAATAGCTTCAAGCTCAACAATACAATATATATATAATGTTATCATCTAAAACTAACACTATTTTCTACATAAATTCTCAATTGTCTTTGAATTTGACAAAATTTGTAGATTTGACTTCAGCTTGTAAATTATTAAAATCTTAATATACATTAATACACTGTATATACGTATTGCACTTAGGTAGGTAACATGACTGGGGTATTACTGTATTGTTATCGTTATCTCATAAAGACACATTAAGCTTAGGTAATGATTGCAATATTTTTATAACACCCTTGATTACAGAATCAAATCTGCAATCTAACCTTAATGTGTCTTAATATTATTTTTATTTATTGTTCATAAGGACTTGTATCAATTGAACAAAAATTGTCAATGCTTGAATACAGTAATATGTAGTGTGTTAATGAGAGCATTGCATCTGGTGGTCACCACCTTTTAGAACAACGAAATAGATGGTCAACTGATGCGAGTCCTTTTTGTTTTTATTTAACTGTATTTATTTTAGACTACAGACACTAGGGCATTTACTGAACATTCAAGTTGGATAAAGGTTGTATGTTTCATATCAAAATAAAAGAAATGAAAATGCAGTGTTGGTTTTTATTTTTAGATTAGAAGGTAATCTAAATAGCAACTTCCTGGTCAAAATTAAAAATTTGTTCCACACTAAGGTTTATTAGTACTTTCGAATCATTTTGAACAAAAAGGCCCTTCCTAACTTCTCTCTAAAATTAGTTCGAGTTCGGTGTTTGAAAGACCCTAAAAATGGATATTTTCGATGCTCGAAAACATTATTTTTGAGGGTGTCGAGTATCTAAATTGAAGGTAAAACCTACAAGACTTTGAAGAGGATATAGGCTTACACCCTATTTCATTGACGTTTACTGAGGTGAACAGCTGATAGGCAAGTGACATTTTTGTGTTTGCGACGTTGGCAATAATGGATTACATTTCTAAGGAAGACTTCAAAAAATGTTTTGGGCAGTGGAAGCACATGTGGGACAAGTGTATTAGTTGTAGTGGGCAGTATTTTGAAGGAGATAAGGTTCCTTTGTGAAAAAGTTGCAAGTAAATAGCTTTTAAGAAATAATTACGGGTTTTTTTTGTACCACCTCGTATAGCTTACTTTAAAGCAGTTTTTACCCTCACATGGTAGACTAAGAAGTGGCGAACTCGAGGGGCGACACATTGGTAGTTCCAGAATTCATGTTCAGCAATACTTTCGAGGAGGGATTGAAAATTGAGTGCTCCTCAATATAATAAAATAAATGGCGTCAAGAAGGTTGATTCTGCACATCAGACGCAACGCCGTTATCAACCCAAACTAGATTCTTTGAGAAAAAGGTCAGTCAAACTGGGCAAATGTACACCCTATTTCACGAGTATCCATCACGGAACAATGACAGCTAGTTATCTAGTAATATTTCGAAATTCTCCATATCGGCACAGGACCGATAATTCTGACAGATCCGTCAACGTCAGGTCGATAGAGCTGTATTTTGTTATGGTTTTTTGTAGTCTATAGATTCATTCACTTGCTGATCAGCTGCTCACCTCTGCACACGTTAAACGGTGATGGATAGAATTACCAAGGTTGGGATAAAAATGAAGTGATGATCTAAATTTTTTTTCAAAAATAATCCCGGTCCTCTGAAACGTCAAATATCTAAGATTGAGCGATTTTATTATTTTCCATTTTTGGCTTTTTTTTCTGCCGCCACTGGACCGATTTTCACATACTACCAGACTTTTGCGTACTTGCAGTTGAGTAAAAATTTCAACGAAATCCCTGCGGTACTTCTCAAGTGATAAGCGGTTATAAGATTAGCGAACAGACCGATCATGTTTTTTTCGTTATGTAACATATGACATCCAGAAAACATTATGTCATTTTCGAATATTTTCGCGATTACAATAGTTCTCTGCCAGTAGAGAGGTAAAAAAGCAACTTTGAATGCCTATTTCACGTGATACAGCTTAAACGGCTTAATGGAGCTTCATTTTGATATTTGAGACGTGCTTAGATTCGTCTTCATAGCGCAATAATTGATTCTTCATTCTTTTCACTTAAATCAACGTTATAATCTCCATAAGAAGCGTAGGCTGTTCCGAACACACATTTTCTTGTACTTTTATACGTCTCAGCATATTTAAATTCAAAATATTCCCACTTCCGTTTTGTTCAGGCCTGATAAGAGAAAACGAGGCGTGGCTTAACTATCACATGCCCATCGACCTCTTTGTTGATTGATTGGACGTCAGACTTGTCTCCATTCTTATTAGTGTTCTATGATATGTTTCAACTGTCATTCATCCCCACCTCTCGTTTGTGCGTCCCGCTTTTTTCAAGGGTCGTTTGTTTTTCCCGGTTATCTTGTGCACCTATTTGATTCATTATAATTTTGTATATTCCTCTTGTTACCGAGCTTTCACGAGTTGTAAATTGCGATTTAGAAAAAAGTAATGGATCCAAGCAAGCAATCAACCTCGAAAGAGGAGACTGCCGAACAGACCGCAGAGGCACTGAGGCAATCCCAGCAACAGAGACAACGGCCCTCTCGTTACCCTGTTACCCATAGTTGCTCTACTGGGTATTTAAGGAGCGGATTTCGCGCTGTAAGTAGTCGTCTTTATGGATGGAAAAATTGGTGATCAATTAGCCGTGGTGTTGTGCTTGCTTATTCTAAGATCTTCATATTTTCTGTTCTCCGCAGGCATTTTTCTCCAGAATAAGAGTAAATAGAAGCCGGAGTATTGACAGATTGAGACAAATTGTTGAGGGCTATGGGGAGGAGCTCCCATGCACGTCTGTTTCAGATTTGCGAATAACACTGCTTAATGATCCGGAGGCATCTGCCCTGTTGACAGACACAGACGTTAATGACTTCTTACAGGTCATTGATCACGAGATGGCACAAATGGCCTTAGATGACCAAGTATGTATCATTAGTTGTTCGTATTCATTTAAAAACACTGGCTTCATTTATGAGGTTTTGTCTGTCTCTTTATAAGTACTATTCTCTCATATCCACACTGCTTCTAGTTTCCACTTTGCATAACCTTCTCTCGGAATATTCTTCAGTGTCTGTTAGAGATTTAGCAATATTGTGCTTATTTCAATTAATTAATAAGAAAAAAGTTGTTGCTGGGATTCTGATGCACTGTTTTTGTTTCGATGAACATTAAGTCAAATACATTGCAGGTGCTCAAACACGAGCAGGAAGCTAAGAAAGAGACTGAAGATATAGTTGACCACCATCTGCATCCTTGCAAAATCTGTCAGCAGATGTGCACGGATGAAAATGAGATATGTGCAGCCTGCCAGACCAACATCAGCAATGACATGACGAACTCTTAAACATCATTTGTTCCATGTGTTGATGATGTAAGGGCATCAGATGGTGAGGTAGTTAGTTTTTTCAACCAACAGGGTAATTTTTAGCTTTTTGTTTGTCCGCATATGAGCCATTGAAAGCCAGGATGGTCCAAGTCACAAATAGACGTTTCCGAGATATAAGGCTTTAAATTTTAGATGCGGCTGATAAATGTAGAATAATAAAACTGCAGATTTAAATCAGGATACCCTTAAAGGGACTGTAGGGGGGTGTTACAGTACCTCCCAATTTTGATATTGTATCGAGCGTGACTTAATATGCGAATCTGGCTCTCTAAGGCGCTTTCGTCCCAACCGCTTGGATTTGAGGATTACTAAAAGTGAAATTATGTTACGATCAGAATTTTCAGTGAACAATGGATTTAATTACCTGATGATGTCGATTCAAACAGCTCAGAATTTTCCTCTTTCAGCGTCGCTCAAAAAATGATTGCAATATTTTGATAACACCCTTGATTGCAGAATCAAATCTGTAGTCTAACCTTAATGTGTCTTAATATTATTTTTATTTATTGTTTATAAGGACTTGTATCAATCGAACAAAAATTGTCAATGCTTGAATACAGTAATATGTAGTGTGTTAACGAGAGCTTTGCATCTGGTGGTCGCCACCTTTGTATGGGGCAACAGAAAGATCATTATGTTAATTTCACTAGGTGCAAAGAAAATCAAATGGTCTGATACTAGGATTATACGAGTATGATCCTTTAGATTTAAGATCGAGTATACTTCAGCCCCAGAAGCACCCAACCATAGTCATACTCTCTTCTAGCTGTGTTCAACGACAAGATTTTTACAGATCTAATCAATATGAGAAATAGAAATTTATCTTAAGATCAAAGCTGTCAAGGTGTTTACAAAGGGCTGAAGTTACCGAAGTGATTATTTATGTGATTTGTTAGCCTTAAAGGCCCCCATTCAGTATTACCACTGTTAACGAACGTTTGTGATACAATTCGTGATGTTTCATATCGAAACCAAAAATAAAATGAATGAATATTCTGTGTTGGTTTTATTTTTAGATTAGAAAAATCTAAATAGCTAACTTCCTGGTCAATATTTAAAAAAGAGATTCGCTTTCGGTTCAGTATTTTCTTCCTAGACCAAGGCATTGCCGCTGCCGCCAAAAACTGCAACTACAGGGTTTGTCCGGAAAGTAATAGGACTGAGTCGATTAAAAAAATTTATTGAGCCAATCGTTACAATTCTTTAAAAACTTTCAAAATAGGCTCCTTCTGCGTCGATGCAGCGCGACTTCCAAGCATTGAAGGCGCCAGGAAGTAAATTAGAAAGGTTCAATCTTTGATTGATGAATTCTCACTCAGTGCGTTGGCATGGAAATAAATACAATATAATGTAGAAAATTTTATTGAACATCAGGAATACAAAAGGATACGAACAAAAGGGCTAAACTACAAATTACACGTTATTTTCTTGGATTCATATAGAACACTAAAAATAATTTGACAACATAAGAATATCGTATATTGAGATACAAGCCCATAAAGGACACTACTGGATAATATAATTACATACATTATTTCTTGTGATATAGATGAATCCAAGAGAATTCTTCTGAGATCCTGTATGAAAGAATGGACAAAATACATGGGCGCCCATGTAACAAGAATCAAGCGGCAGGCCCATAATTCATTTCAATATTTCAGTTTTTTTTTTTTTTTTTTGTATGGAAAGGGTGGTGTGAATGATACTGGACATACAAACGAGGTCTCAAGATTTGTCTTGAAAGTGTGAGTTACTGAGGTATTCTAAAATTTTAAACCCAAACCTCAACTTTGAAATTCCTATTTGACTGGCTACAGCCCAAACAGTTTGAGATTTGAGCTAATATATCCAGAACATGGGGCAAAAATTTAAAGGGTGATTTTTTTGGGTATTCTGAGACTACTTCATCCTCTGACGATTTTCGAAATAATCCTTTTTGCAAATACAAGACACCAAAGAATCATATTTTGTTTAAAAAACAACATTATATAATCCAAAGAAACCTAGAAGTCATAGTCAAGGTATTATTTTTGAAAAGCCTGATCCTTTGCCTGAATACATGTATCTTTATTTGGTTGGTATAAAATAAACCGTTTTCGGAAATAGATTTTCAGATCACCCTATCACGATCTAGGTTTTTGTTGTTTTTTTTGCATTTGAGCTATTCCGCCCCTGGCGAACTAAATTAGCTAAGTGTTCTTCATCATGTGAGATCTCAACTGGCTATTTTTTCCCATAATAATGCTGTCTAAATTTTGTTGGGATTATACGGTGTTTAAAAGTATCTACGAAAAAACTATTTCCAGTGGTGTCTTTCGATATAAATACCTCTCTCCCTGTCTCCGCGATCCAGATGCAGAAAAGCGTACGTGCTGAAATATATTTCGAAAATTCTCAGAGAACAAAAGGAGATCCTCTTGAATTTTTGTACTCCGTGGACAACAAACACCATCCAAGAATTACCAGCGCCAATCAATTTTCATTGGCGAGGATTGTACCAAATATGTGAATTAATTTTTGAGGTAAAATAATGGACTAATTCTTGAAATCACAAAGAAGTTTAAAGCGTGGTAGTAAGTAGTAAATTTTACAAAAACGAAGAAATGACATCACCTTATTTCCAAATAGAAATTCAAAAACGGCTTCTACAAAAACCTTGAAGGTTAATTAAATATGGAACTTGACACTTGTGAATACTTTATTTTGTTCAATTGTACAGTCTGCGAAAAACAAAATAGTTCATCTCTTGATAGCATTCCCAGCAATGTAAACCCCTTCCGATACTTGTAGCGGAAGATTAATTCAGATTTATATAAAATAGTGCCTTTTTAGCCTTTCTGATACCGAATCGTCTGTAACTCAGAAACGGTCAACCAAAAAAGTTACTATGGATCTTTTTTGGTTGGAATGATCCAAAAAAATAATATGAGATATACTTTGCAATTCAAGTCTCGCCGATCCCTAAAAATTGCCATGCATTTTTAAAAAACAATGTTTTTAAAGGTGCCAAGTGTCTCGTTTAAAGTCCAAACCTGGCATTGTTAGATCTAGAAGAATATTTTAGGCTTGATCTTAAAGCAATTTTTATCCTTACTTGGTGGAGTAACAAGAGATAAACTTTTGATTTTCATATACTGTACAATTTACTGTATGTTTTCGAAAAATTTAAACTGGAGTTAAATGCTCACCTTTCAATCTCCATTTAATAGTTAAAATTTTATAGAAATTACTCTCCTATTTATATATTCCAAAACATGTTACGAGTCCAAAAATTACATCTTTCAATCTCTATTTAATAGTTAAAATTTTATAGAAATTACCCTCCTATTTATATACTCCAAAACATGTTACGAGTCCAAAAATTACATCTTTCAATCTCTATTCAATAGTTAAAATTTTATAGAAATTACCCTCCTATTTATATACTCCAAAACATGTTACGAGTCCAAAAATTACATCTTTCAATCTCTATTCAATAGTTAAAATTTTATAGAAATTACCCTCCTATTTATATACTCCAAAACATGTTACGAGTTCAAAAATTACATCTCTTTTACAATGGAAGTATCACAATTTACAAATAATACAGGTCGTTCGATCTGCGATCCACATTACAAGACTGATGGTAAATGGCAGTCTCTCTTGTAATGTTTTTTACTGAAGACAGATAACTAGCAGCATATCTATATTTTTTTTGGGTTTGTAAAAAAATATGGACAACCTTGTATGAAAGCGAACATTTTAACATACTTTTCTAGATTTAGATTAGCAAGATCCACAATGTCTACAGCTAGAGTTACTATAATATACATACTAGATATTATATGAGAAGAGCTGATACATACACATTTCATTGTTGTTCCAACAGCTTATTGTCTAAAATATTTTCAGATTCAATTCAAAATTTCCCTATTGCTGGGATTCAGATAGCTGATATCTCAGAATGTTTGTGAATATACACACTTATTTACATCATAGCTCAAGATCAATGATATACATTATAATGTCATATACATATCTACAGAGCTTTAAAAAACCCAAAAATTAATAATAGTCTTTTGATGATTAGATGTGTAGTTGAAAGCCATTTAGTGAACAAAAACACTCAACTATTTTGAACGATAGTGAATGTACACTTTAAAATTCCGAAGTACTCATAAGGATATTCAAAATGGGTCATCCCTATATTTCATTTAAAAATCTTTTCAGTTGTAATTTTGTTAAAATATGCCTTTTATGCATCAATTGTTCAAAAAATAACTGAGAGGTTGTTAAAAAGCATTGTATAATTTTTAGATGTGCATAAGTTTTTACAAGGCCACGCTAATTTTTTTGACACATTCGTGCGAGTTTTCCAGTTTTCAACACTGAGTTTGAGTAGCATGTACTCTGAAACGTTAACTATAATAACCCCTGTAACATTTGTAACAATCTTCCAAATATCCTGTATCATTTCAGGCATGATTCGTCCTTGCAAAAATATAAATATGACGTAAATCGTTACATCATACTCTATCACAACACATATTAATTATAAACAATACCTGCCATTTATTAACGTACACTGTTAGCAAGATATACAAGCCTGCAGTAAAAAATCATACGTTAATCAATGGTGCTAGCGAGAGATAAACAATATATCAAACAAATTACAGAAATCAATCAACTCAATCAAATAAACATTAACTACTGAATTGATAAGGGTAATAAACTGATTGCTAGGATTTTTTCATATCCAGCATGGTATTGATTTCCCAAATGATTCTGCGAAGGTGATCAATTACCTCTTTAAGTTGTTTATTCTTCAATACAACCTGCTCCATAACTTCTTTGCTTTCTTCACATGCCAAGCGATATGCTTCTGAGTTTTTCTTCTCATCGTGCTTCGGATCAAAGTCGTCCTTGAACGGAATTAAGCTTTCGATATGGGTGTATTCCATGCCTTGAAGTTGGCAGTTTTCATTACATTTCTCGTAGATGAATCGGAGCCGTTTGAACAGCACACGAATCGTTCTCAGTAGCTCTTGAACCTTAGCTTTCTTCTCATTGCTGTTGTTTAACGACTGAGGTGTACCATTTGGAGGCTGGAAAATATATACCAAGGAAACGTTAAAAATGCGTGCAATTTACCTTGAGAAGTTAAAATCCTCAAACAAACAAACAAAACAAAAACGTACGATTGAAAACCCAGTGAAAATTGATGGAATGATTAAACCTAATAATCTATCAACAAGGTAAACAGCTCTTAACTATGACATTGACAATCATGGCAAAGACAAGTCGCAACAAACTTTTTTTACGTTCCAGTCATCACCTTATTATTATTGGCTGGAAAACAGCTCTATAATGAAGGCTAAACCCAAGATCAATGAAGTTGCTAGAAAACAGCTCCGAGTGTTAAAAAACTTGAGTTCTATGGAATGACCACTTCAAGTGATATTTATAAGCAAATTAAATGCATACCTGGATGGTCTTGAGAGTTTGAAAGACCTCTTGAGTACGACTAACAATATCTTGGACTGTCTCTTGTCCCAATCTGCACAATGAGGCCGTGTTGTACTCCTTTGACTGCTGATGTTGCTGTTGTGGAGCAGGCACCGAAGGTGGAGTAGGAGCAACACCAGGTGTTGGTTGCGGCATCTCATGATGATTCAATGCAGGTGTAAATTCTGAAAAAAATATATACAGGGTAGCGTATGATTAGAGGGAAGTGCCTCAGGTGCATCATCTTACAGCACCACAAATGTTTGATAACAGTTTACAGGAAATCTTAATTTTTCATCAAAAATTACTCAAAGGTTTGTAAAACTATAATTTGGTTTTTCCAATAAAAATGTGCATATTACGCTTTAGAAAATTACTTTTGGTTTTTAGGCTGAAAAAGATAATTCTAGTTTTTTAAATGTTAAGTGCTATACCATTGTGCTTTCAATGTTATATTTTCTTCCTACTATTACTCCATAACACACAGAGCTCAGTTTCTTAATAGCATTTTCAATATAGTCAAAAGATGAATTGACAGAACCAAAAATTTCAGATTTTCTGACAAATCTACTATCGTACTTGTGAAGTTGATATTGCTAGTCATCTCTATGACATTCGTCAATCATGTATTAAATATCATGATGTTCATTTTATTTCCATTCCATTAGCTGTGAACTATTTAAAAATAATTACCCATTGGTCGCTGCTGCATTGCCATCTGAGTTGAAGGCTGCTGCAAAGGCATCTGACCAGCTCCCATTGGGCTGTTCATGTTGTAGTGTTGATTCATTTGACTTAACATTGGAGAACCGCTGTTCATGTTGGATGTCATTTGGTTTCCTATAGATCCGTTCATAGGGTTAGACATTTGAGGAACAATAGGGCTACCCATTGGGTTAGACATCTGCACAGAAATCTGGTTGGGGATGGCATTTTGCATGCCCGCTGGTGCCATTTGGGCTTGCAAGGGGCTGTGAAACGCATTCCGCATACCTGGGGACATATCCAGTTGAGTTACATTAGAATGCACAGGTTTGATGTTTCATTTTTGAGCACTTAACTAAGAGTCACAGGCTTTACGTGGCTGCAACCTCGTAAATATGAAGGTGTTCATTTAAAATAATATATGAATTGTTACCTGCTTGTTGTGGGTTATTTAGATTTTGCATGAAACGGTGAGGTGGTGCTGCCATGTTATTTTCTTCTCTCATTCACTGGAACTTCTAAACCACCGTATTCTGGTTTCTACCCCCAGAAACTCCCATTTTACTTTTAAAATTACAAATTAATAATCAAATATTATGACTTAATGTTGAGGTTGTGTTTTGACTTTTGTGTGACAGCTATCAGTTGGATGTTCGAAGTACAGATGCCTGCCTTACCGACCGTATAGTATAGATGAATGTAAATCATGGATTGCCTATAATACAATGATAAATGATCCATGGCTCGAGTAAAGGTTGATTCTCACTATACATTCAGTTTCCATTCTGTAACCGTTCCGTAAATTATTGAAATTAAATATTCGCCTTCGCTTAAAGCAGGCTATTGCGTATGTGTTTGCTCATTTACCGGTTCTCCTGAAATATAGGGCTCTATAATATATTACTATAGCCCCTCACTCGTAGATGTCACCACCACCGATCCCTACCTTGCTTATTTACTATGCTATCATAGATGTCTATGTGTATAGGGGCCTATCTTGCCGACATTTTCTTCTGAAGTTTGAATGGTGGTGTTTGTTGTGCATTTGAATCCACTCCACCATCTCTAGTGGACGCTGCCTTGCAGCTGTCAGTAACCAAATAAACAGAAAAATTTGGTTTAGTTTAAAACCCTTTGGCTAATTGTTCGTGATATTTGATGTTATAGCACGCATTTCCGATCAGGTAACTACCAAGAACTTCCTATAATTGCACTCTTCCTAGGCCTGTTTAACGTGCTCAAAAGTTAGGTTATCTACAGTTCAAGTAACTGTATTCTTCACAACTTAAATGTTACAGGTGAATGTATATTTACTGAAGAATGGCAAGAGGTCAGCAGAAGCTTCAGTCCCAAGCTAAAGCTGCAGAAAGAGCAGCTAAGCAGAAAAAACAGCAAGGACATAGTGCCACTGATCAAAAAAAAGCTGCCCAAAAAGCCTTAGTCCATGTATGTGCTGTTTGTAAGGTAAGAAACATCGAAAAGACTCATTCCCTTGTTTTCTGATCATTCCAGAAGCCAAACGGTAAGTTGGCTTTGTTGTTGCACCTGATTCACAGTGCTCACAAGTTGTGTAATCATAGACTTGTTACCACTGTGATAACTCTCGAAGTAGCTAAAGTTTCTTTATGTGCTTCTATAATTTAACCCATATGAGAATGAAATGCTTTGATTATACATAATTATTTAGCAAGTGTTCTCCAAGCAATATATACTATTATATATATTAGAAACTGAATTGATTGCAAGTCACTGGTATTGATTAGGAAAGCCATATTCTTAAAAATTTCATGATTATGGTTTTAGTGGCTTCACTATCAGTGTTAATGATTCCAAGGATGCTGATAACTATAAAATAGTACCATAAATTTTGCAAACGTGTGATAGAAATCGTTTCCTGATAAAAATATGTATTGATAATTGTTCACATGTACACTCATCAGAAATAGGGATATTCAGACATACTATTCAGCAGTGGTTTATGGTAATATCTTGACTTACCATAAATAATGTAATATCTCTAGGCATGATAATGCAATGAAACAAATGGAACCAACTTAGAAAAATCACTGAATATTAAGTAAACATGTTCATATTGTTTGGATAGCAAATATGTTTACAAGTTTTTATCAAAATTCAACAAATAATTCTGGGTGTTGCATTTTATATGTGACTTGTATATGTGAGAAACAGTGCGCCGAGGGTATCCGTGACCTCGTACTCGAGTTGCTAGGCAACAAGGTGCTTCTACAACATCGGTGGTATTTGGTTTTCAGTGTGTGTGCCAAGTTGTCAGTATCACATCTGAACTACAATACGAGACATAAAAATATGTACACTTACTGATTGAAAGGTTATAGGCATAGTTTTATCCTCTAAAATATACAAGGCATACAAAAAATATGGATAGATTGAAATATCTCGAAAAATACGTTTCCTTGAGGAAAATGTTATTGAACAAAGTCTTAAGGTTTGAAAAGATGCATCTACTGGTGAACTTGAACATAAGCTTGACCATCACCTCCAAGTATATTTGAAGTTCAAGACAGTTTCCTTAAAGGGAACCCCTATTTTTGACACTGGAAATGTAAAGATCGGGAAATTTCACGTTAAGGTCTCTCCCATAGCCTTGAGCATAATCTTAATGGGTATTTGAGAATGAAAAGATCAAGAGACTTCATATTTGAGTATGTGCATGACCTTGACTATATCAAGGTCATTTCAAGATCAAATGAATTTTTAATAAGAAGCATCTATTTTTAATTCCTAAAATGCAAATTGCGCACAAGTTCAAGTATATCCTTCTAATAGACCTGACATTCAAGGTCATTTTAAGATCAGATAAATTTTCAAGTACACTCACTTTGTTGAGGATATAAAAAAGAGAAACATCAAAATTAATCCATTGTTTAGTCTGGTATATTATAAAGTAGTGCAGCTATTTACTGACTGAAAAAAAAAAGTTAGCGTTTTGAAGAGCACTGTATAATGTTTTGAATTGTTTTCAGGCCCAAATGCCAGATCCAAAAACTTACAAACAGCATTTTGAAAATAAACACCCGAAAAACGAAGTGCCTGCCGAATTGAAGGATGTCTAAATACCCAACGTCACGATTGAAGCAAGCGTCACCATTTGTGTTTCAATCATAGTGTTGAACGCTTCTGTTATGTTTTATATATATACTATCAGTTAATTCACTCTGTTCTTGTGATGACCATTTCTCAATTAAGATGTCATTTCCAATGAACTGAATATGTATTGGGTTATATAGATGTATTTTTTTTATGTTTCTAACGGTGGTCAAATGATGTCCAAAGTATTATTATTAGATTTTATTACAGTGGTGTGATTTTTAGTATCTTGTGCTATTCCTATACCCTGTAATCGGCGCCAAAAATGGAAAATGTTTTTTCTATATAAACAATATAGAAAATGTTGAGAAAAAATGGCTTAGGCTTAAGCACACTTTCTATTATAGATTTCTTTTTATTGATATTGGTTAACGCATTCTATCTGAGGACAGCAAAAAATGAGACGTGAGAGATACTAGCGCCATCTACGAGACAGTAGCAGAACACCAAAATCAATTTATAAATCTACGTTGACAAATTAGTGCTTGGTTAGGGTGCCTCGGAAGTTAATTTCCTGCCATGGATGTTGTGTTGTGTCACTCACGATAGGTACGTCGTCTCGTTTCTGCTACTGTCTCATAGATGCCACTAGGATCCTTAGGGGGGGAATACCTTAGCATTAGCTGAAGATACAAAAAAAATAGCTAGAGCTATCGCAATGTCTCTATGCCGATTTTGGTAGTTTCTTTTTAATACCCGCATATAGGGCGTCGAGGATAACAAAAACAACATTGCCGTAATATTCACTACGTCCGTATTTACTGAGATTTCTGCAGATATCAAAATAAAAACCCTCCTTTCCGTTATTGTATTTTTAACCGGTTAACCATAGATTATGAATTAGCCGGCTAATATTTAGAAAAACCGGTTATTCAATTAAAAGGCTATTTTTGCTCATCCCTACTTTGTGGAACATAGTATGTAGACCACTTTAATTGTTAGTTTCATCAACTGTTACATGCTAACATGACAAGATAGCGACATCTACAAGGTAAGGACGTAGCTAGGGATGGCAATTTTTTAGAAGACATGGATGTTTGGACATCGATGGAACTCGATACATCGGAACAAATATATCGAAACAACCTCTTTTTAACGTTTTCTGCTTTCAATGCAGCAAGGAATTCATCGATTACTATCGGTTTTAGCGGAATGGTCATCAGTTGGTGGAATTACCACCGCGTTTTTTTATCGACTTCAAAACCGTTAAGTAAGAAAAAAACGCGGCAGCAACTTCACGATAGGATAAAAGAAGGATACTTACTACAATACGACTATATTTCAGTAAAAAAGTATGATTATAGGAAACTGCAAGATATGAGATTGTCAAAATTAAGAACACATTGATGATCATTAAATACTTTATAATGTACACAAGTTGAAGAGTGTTTTTTAAAGTATTTTCACACATGACTTTTTCGTGACATTTCGATCAATTAATATAATAAGATAGATAGATAAGTTAAAATCATTAAATGTCCTGTTTTTAGTACATGTTATCCTGTTCGTTGGCGAAGTACAGAATAAAGAAAAGACCTCTCACGTCTGTAATGATAATATTGAGATACTACTAAACTTTTCTGGCCTTTCAAATCCGAAGCTACCGGTCCTAGCTTAGAGATGGTAGCACAGTTAGGGGTATACCGATGTTTATGACCCTTTCGATGTCGATATATCCTCATACAACCATATATAGATGTTCTACGTACGATGTTTTCGATACATCGATGTATCGTTGCAATCCCTAATTGTTAGTTTTAGCTTCTGTTACATAGATGTCGCTAACATGACAAGGTGGCGACATCTACCAGGTTGGTCGTAGCCAACGTATAAACTAAAATAGAGGTTATGTTTATTTTCAAATGTAACTTCAAAATTTTGAAAATTGTTTGTTGAATAAACAAATTTCACTGTTTGAATACAAGTCATTTATGACTTGTAATGTTCAAGCAATATTTCAAATACTATAAATCAAGAAATCCTGCCCCTGATCTACGTAGTGTTATAGATTTGGAAAAAGCTGGTTGTGAAAAATCTGTACGCAAAGTACCTTTACCTGCTGAAAGCCCATTTCCATCAATTTGGGGATTGAAGCCATCTACTGATTGGCAAGTTTGGGAAATAGTAGATAAGCCAGGGTTGATAATTATCAGAAATCCTTTTACATCAATTGGTCAAAGGTTTTGGGTGGTTCAATGTTTGAGAGACTATTCAAAAAAGCCAAACAAAAGCAACATAGATGGACTGATAGATCTTGATGGCTGGTAAGTATAACTAGCATATACTTTTACAGTGTGATTCTAGACATAGTGACTGACATTTTCAAAAGCATGGAATCTCGTAACGACTCCTTACCAAAAGTTATTTCTGCTCTAAAAACATTCCCATTGCACTGTGTAAGCACCTTTTTTTACTAAATGAGTTTAAATATTTGAACATATATCATTGAGTGAGTAATATGAGTTTCATAATCTATGTGCAATTTTTACTATTTGTAAAAGTTAAAGACGTTGAACATAGATTTATTGCTGGATCATGATGATTTTAGCTGGTAAGTATGACAAGCACCTAAGTATACAAGTAACCATTTTTACATAAAACTTTTTGATATTAAATCATAGAGAACTAAAAAAATCATAATTTATGTGATACTATACTCACATTATCAATATTTCAGGTGGGAAAAAGCACAGTGCAACAAAGAGACTGCAGAGAAACTTCGTTGGATCACTCTTGGTTTTCATCATAACTGGGATACTAAGATTTATAGTGATATGGAAAAGGATGAGTTTCCATGTGATCTGAAAGGGATGATTGAGCATGTTTCGAAAGTTTTTGGATATGATACATTTCAAGCAGAAGCTGCTATTATCAATTACTATCACATGAATTCTACTCTGTCAGGTACATATAAAAATGGAGCTATTATTTGAGAACACAAAACAACAGCAGGAGAATGAAGAAAAAATTGTTCATTTGATAACACATTTCAGGTTCCACCTGAAAACAGCCAACCTAATGCTAAATTCCCGCGTCCCAAAAATTATCCGAGATATCATAGTCATCTATGAGAATTTGTATCCTCTAATTACTATATATACCTTGAAAATGTCAAAAGACGATTGAGACATGTCATACATGCTAACTTATTTTTCTTAAAAAAATGTCCGAATAATGTCAAATTAACCGGTTTTGAAGTACATACTGGCAGAAAACAAATTCTACCATTTTCGATGGTTTCAAAACCAATTGAATAGAGAAGCAAGCAAATCTGGGACACACTGTATAGTAAGAAGAGAAGCAGCTGTGACAAATTCTCATAAATGATGATGCTATGGTATCAATGCGTATTATTTTTTATTTATGTGATTTTAAACCACCTATTTTTCAGGTCATACTGACCACTCAGAGATCAATTTGGAAGCACCCTTATTTTCAGTGAGTTTAGGCCAGTCAGCAATATTTTTATTGGGTGGCCATACTATAGATGAAAAACCTGTTGCTGTCCTACTACGTAGTGGTGACATTGTCATTATGAGCAAGGAGTCTCGATTATCTTACCATGCAGTTCCAAGAATTTTAAAAGCAGATTCTGAACCGTGGAACAGCAGTAAGTATATAAAATTCCCCATATCGGTACAGGACACATAATTCTGACGGATCCGTAAACGTCATGTAGTCAGCCTGTAATCTAGTCACGTTTTCAAAAATACCTATAAAATATTCGAACTGGAGATACAGCCATTTCAACGCACGTTAGACTACCAAAACCCTTCCTGCAGTTAACATGCTAATGTCAAAATATTGATTCTTTCAGATACTGAAACCATCGCCAGTCCTGCAAGAGATATACAGTGGGATTTATTTGAGGAATATCTTAAAAGCTCAAGAATCAACATCAATGTTAGACAAGTATTGCAACCACAGCAGAGTTGTTTATCAGATGTTATATAGTATTCTATACAATGAATATCAGTTGTCTTTTTTTTCTTCAAAAAAGTGATGATTTTATCGGAATTTCTTCAGATAAGGCTTTCAAAAAATGTTGCTTGGACTAATAAAGACGTTTTATTATTATTTTTCGAAAATTTTCAGAATACAAAATAGTTCTACAATTGCCTGATCTCCTGTTGAATTATTGCCCCACGTCTGTAAATACTGTAACTCTTAGCTTTTAGTTTTTTTGTTGACTATATGCGAGTGATTAGTAGAATTTATTTTACGATAAAACACTTAGTAGTAAGAGCACTTACAATGTACAAGAACCTACAATTGTAAAAAAATGAAGAAACCAACAAACATATATACTCCTTTCACTGAAACAAAGCAGTTACGTCATATTTAGTAAATATGAATGCCAACCTTAATGCAAAATAGATCTTAAATTGGTACGTTCAGTTTGAATTTCCGCGGTATATTTATGTTGGTAACAGTGACATTGTCGTAAAGCTTGTCAGGAAATTACGTCAACGGCTGTTGTTTATTTCCTAGGACCTAGTAGTTTTAAGTAATGTGGCAACTATGTGCGTCACTGTCATTATTTGACGTTGTGGCATAACTATAGTGGATACCAAATAAAATCCGATGCACGTCATCGATCTGGAGCTGTGCGCTGTTGCCAGAATTGATATGAGCTCTTTACACCGACTGTTAAGTTGTTTTGGCATTTTGGATACTTTATACCACTTCACAGTAACTTTTGTTCTGAAAAGAACAACTTTTAATTGGCAAGGCAACGATTCAAAGCTCAAATAGCGCAAAACTCACAAACTAAACAATAAAGAACTAATAGTACGACAAAAGGACAATGGCAACTGATGTCAACAAATGAGAAGTGGCAACCTCACATTTCTCTGCACGGCACTACCAACCGAATCGAGACGGGGAAATTTAAACTTCAAGTAGAAATATCACATTGAATGTAGTCAACTGTTGGTAACCATGATTTTTATGAATGACATCACCTATGACGTGCATCGGATTTTATTTGGTATCCACTATATAATCAAATCCAAGCGGATAACCAACATTTCCGTATTATGTACCGCGGTTATAATATGGTTCAAGATGACACACGGGATGGTGACGTCAGTTACTCGAATCGCTTGAACGCGTTGGTTTTAACCGCGGTTTGTTGCAAGATGTTTATTTTAGAAAAGCGCGTATATAATTTCTGATTATTTTTATTATCACTTAATAATCGGTGCTTTTTCGTCTACAACGGGGTATGGAAAGTTGAAAAAAAGAAAACTTTCATAATATTAATGGGAGGAATGTTTTTTTTTCCGAAAAAAATTTTTACTGATGGAACCATGGCTTTGTAGCTATGATAACTTTCAATTCTCTAAACTTTTCCGCATGTCAAAGAAAATATTTATTGATTTAGCAAAAATGATGAAAAAGCGATGAAGAAAGATATTAACAAAACCGTATACAGGTGGACATCATCCAGTGAGTTTATACGGCCATATTTTAATATTCTTGTGGTATATGGCTAGACAGGATACTTTTTTAAGTGTAGGAACTAGATTTAAAGTGTCCCCAACAACAGTGATGATTATAAATAATGCTAAAACTGAAGTCAGCCTGTATCAAGTTTCCCAAAAATGAAGCTGAAGTACAATAAAAATATCCAATACCCGACAAAATTCTAACTTGTCACATGTCAAATAATAACCAGAAATATAAAACTACTCCGGAGTTGGGTAAATACCACAATTTTGCGGTGATAACTACGACATATAACAGCTGATTCATGACGTCACGGATCTTATAACCAAACTGATAACCACACTCGCTTGAACGGATCGGTAAATACCAATCCAAAATGGTAAATACCATTTCCATTTGGTTATCCGCTTGAATTTGATTTATATATACTGTAAACTTTACATATTTTGTGATACCCAATTGGATTGTAATGTAACTTTGGATGATTCAAATATATATTTACTATTTATAAGTATTTTTATTTGCGGCGGATTAAAAACAAAGAAAACCAATGGATATCAGAATACTTCAATCAGCTATCATCTATATTGACTAAGCTTTCTCTAGAACTCATAGTTGATGTTGCTGCAGAACTTGCTTCTGATGAAATAACCTCCTCTTCACGTAAATCTCTTCGGAGTCTTTCCATCAAAGATTCTTGCCTTACCTTTGTTTGCTCTTCCTAAAAACAAGATGATCTTTATTTTTTGAACAATCAGCTGATAATCTTAATGTAAGTGGCAGTTGGAAATTTCATTTTAGCAAATTTATTCAAACTGACTGGTGGACCATAAGTTGAGATTGACTTGTTATTCTGGAAAACCTTGTATACCTTGACCCTTTCTTCTTGTTGTTTTAGTATGCAAAGAGATTCCTCAAGTGGTATTAGTTTTGAAGGTTGTTGTGAACTCCTACAATCTTCTATAAGCTTGACAGCCTTGCTCTGTGGATTAATTTCTTTGGTGTGACATAGGGTAGAAGATGGTTTATATCTTTCAGTACCAGATGTCCTCTTTTCTATTTCACATATATGTTTTACATGCTGGCAATCGGCTATGTCCAAATTACTCATTGCGTCTTGTATCTCCAAACCCTCTCGATAATTTATTTCAGCTGCTATTCGATCTCTAAATTTTTCAATTGATGCTCCTTTATCACGCAATTTATCAATAAGTTTCCTAGAATATGTATACAGGTTGGTGTATTAATAAAACAAGTTAAAAAAGAAATACAGCACAATATTAATTTGTTTATATACTTTTGTCCATTACTGTATATATCATACAAGCATTATTCCAGTTCCAAGATAACTATTTGCATTATGTATGAAGAAAAAAAAATGAATTGTGAAAAATATTTAATTTCCAGCATTTATCAGAAATAATTTTTTTCCACCATTTTTTTGGAGATTTCCACAAACTGCCCTCTGCAGTAACACATTCGCTATTATATTCCCAAAGAGGGGTGCTTGAAGATCTGCCCTTTTACGGCCATCATACTTTTCCATATTTATATTGAGTCTAAGTTGGAAAAACCTTCAAACCTGGCATGTTTATTAACTGTTTTGTTTTTTTAATTGTGACTACTCAGTATCTTGTTTCAATCCTAATCAGAATACATTTTTAAGCTAATACAAAAATCATTGGTGTCCTGATCCTACCTATTTCTTGGATGAATTTCCAGAAACATGTTATCATGGAACTGAATTTATGTATATATTTTTGATATAAAACTTGTATTTTTACAAAAAAAAAACAAAGCGTTCATCTCAGTGAAGCCTGAATCTGTTCTTTGTATTTGAAGAAATAAATGAGATGATGGTATGGGGATATAATGGGGCTGACATATGAACAGTGATTGAAATTGAGATTTCTGGTAGTTTTACTCACTTATTCTTCAGAATTGCATTCTCTCTTTGCAAAGATTCTCTTAATTCAACTAGTGTCATGTTCTTCAATTTTTTGACTTTATTAGTTACTGAACTAGGTATGCTAGGTAAATCTGCCATTGTAAAACGTATGTTTATACATTGCTACGATGGAAGATTTGCCAAAAAACACATGTCAGTCAAAGTCATGACTGGAATTTAAAACAAAAAAACAAACTGGATTTTTTAAAAATTGTTTGCAAACACTAATCCTAACCTAACTTTTCTTTAAATGACACAACACAAATATGACGACAGGGAGCACAAACGAATGACTGATGAAGTATTTCGGCGTTTTTAATTGGCTGTGATTGACAACTCCTTTTCTCGATTGGTTCTCTGACTGTACCACAGACATCACTGTGCTTCATTTGTTCTTGCTTGTCACAAGTGTATGTTCTGTGATTGCAGTTTGATTTGAATTTGGTTCATTTACGGTTTTGAAAAATTTTAAAAAAGGGAATTGAAATTGAAATGAACGGCGACATATCAAACAAAGATGCATTCAGCGAGTCTGAAGATGAAGCAGATAGAACAGCTTCCAACATTCAAACTAAAAGTAATGAAAGGTGTATCTGGGGCTATATTGAGCATGTAGGGAATTTTAATCAAGTAGGCCTGTCTGAAGCTAGATCAGATTCAACCTTTTGTATCTGTTAGTGCTGTAGTTGCTTCATGGAGAGATCAGCTTTCAGGTATGATCAATTCAATTACTTCAAAAACCACTTTAAGTCGATAGTCTCCAACGTGCCTTTTTACCGTAAACAAAGCATATATTGCTATCAACATCTTTATTGTTTGTCGGCTATGAAAAGCCTTGTATCCTGACATAAGGCCATTAAGTAGAATTAATATAGTATAGTGCTTTCTATACTCTGACTGCGTTACCTTGAGAATGTCTATGGCCTAACTACTTTTTTCTCAGAGGGTCTAGTTTGTACTGAACATATTTATGTACTGAAAAGGGCGTTGCGTGCAGAGTCAGCCTACCAGACGCCTTTTTTTAGATGTCCTTCAAAAAAGCAGAGCTATCGACTAATTACAAACTAAGAACTCACAGCCTATCAAAAATATTTATATGTTTATTAATTAGACAGAGAAAACTTACCAGTGTCTTTTTTATTCTGCATATATGATAAAAATGATTTTTAATGATCCATATTGTTTTTCAAACGTGCGACTTTTTTACGTGTGCAATATTGGTCCTTAGTATCAGGTCCCCATCAAGAAAATGCTTATGAAAAACGATTTTTTTTTACAACAGTGGCTGTTTTTGCCTCTGTTTCATAAAAACTTATTTGTTTACAGAAGGTCTTCATTGGACAATGAATCCAGTCGACGAGTTTGCTGATCATAATAACAGTATGTTCCAGAAGGGTCAGATACATCAATGAAAAGGAGAAGCATGTCTGACGGAACATCAGATCACGATACTGATGATGAGCATTTTGAATTTCACAAGAGACATTCGTCTGAGTGTGAATGCAACCCCTCTTGTAGCAAAGATTTTGACGGAAATGACCCACCCTGTAGTGAAGACGATTCAGATGGATGTGAGCCTAGCACGAGGCCGTCATCAGATGATGAATACCACCCATCTTCTGGCGAGGAGGATTCTGATGAATACGAGCCTGGCAGTTGGGGCTCAAAAAGGTTAGGACCAGCTACCAAAAAGAGAAGGGTGTCCGGTGAATCATCAGACCGCATAATTGATGATGGAGACATGGAGGTTTATAGTGCGAGAATGGCTGCTTACTATGAACTTAAACAGAGTGCTGTGATGAACGATGGCGATGGCTACAGCGATAATGATGATGTGTTAGTTATGGATGATTTTAAAGTAAGTTGATTTAGCTAAGCCATACTTCAAACTTGTACTGAAGCAGCGTTGCCAAATTCGTCGCAGGGAATTATCGTACAAATACGTCAAAATTATCGTACATTATCCTACACCGTGCCTTAAGTTCTCTCAGGATTAATGATTAAGGATAATTTCCGTTTAGGGGGGGGGGGCTCTTATTAAATTATCGTACAGAAACGATAATTATCGTACGTCTGGCAACGCTGTACTGAAGGTAGATCACATGTTCCACTGTCTCCCATCCAAGCCCGGCGCATCCGGTGTTGCCAGATCGAACGGTACGTTGCCAGTCTTATTACTTCTTCGTAGGAATATCGGCAAATATACTCGTACATATTGATCTCTTTGAGTTAATATAAATATTGAAAATTGATACTATTCTTTCAGATGCCAGCCAACACTTGGTCAAAGTTGTATCCCTACCAACAAAAGGGTGTCAAGTGGCTGTATAAGTTGCACAAAAGGCAAACTGGCGGTATATTAGGGGATGAAATGGGCCTTGGGAAGACGGTGCAAGTAATCGCATTCCTTATTGGATTAAACTATAGTAAACTCAAATCTACATATAGATGGTTAGGCCTTGGTCCTTCCATAATTGTATGCCCCACAACTGTCATGCATCAGTGGGTCAGACATTTCCATGAATGGGCACCAGAACTTAGAGTTGGTCTTCTTCATTCGTCTACCTCATACAAAGGTAAGAGGGGCTTTTCGGTAATTTGGTGGAATTATTGTAGGTTGTAGATGTTCTTCTACAAGTACTGTATAGTTTGCCGTTTTGATTTATCCCATATCATGCGTAGAAATGATGTTTGGACAAATAAAATATCTGTCTATCTTTCATCTTTGTTTCAGGAAAAATGTCAGATTTTGTGCAAGAGATGAACAAGTGCGGTGGCATCCTCATCATGTCATACCAAGGTCTATGCAAATACGAAAATATTTTTCACAAACACAAATGCCACTATGTCATTCTCGATGAAGGTCATAAGGTGCGAACACCTACAGCCAGGATGACGATAGCTGCTAAGCAGTTCAAAACCGATCATCGCATTTTGCTATCGGGCAGTCCGATGCAAAACAATCTAATAGAACTTTGGAGTTTGTTCGATTTCACCAACCCTGGTCTGCTGGGTACATTAAAAATATTCGAAGAACATTTCTCCAAGCCAATTATGCGAGGCGGATACGAAAACGCATCACATGTTCAAAAGGAAACTAGCAAGGCGATGGCAGTCACGTTGAATGACTTGATTAAGCCTTTTTTACTGCGAAGGACTAAGAAAGAAGTGCAAAACGACATATGTCTGCCTCAGAAGTGTGAACAGGTAATAACGAGCTTTTTTCAGGATTTTTACAATTTTCCCAAAGGAGATTGGTGAAGATCGACTTTGTTTCATATGCCTAAAAATAGACAATAACATCACATATATTTCGCAAAATATTCACGTCAGTGGCTCCAGCAGTATCAGCGACCCAGAAAGACGCGATACTCTTTACACGCGGAAGGTCCGATCCAAATTTAGCAAGCAATTTTTTATGTAGATTCATACCCTTAAATATTCGCATATCATTAAGGAACACCCTGTATAATGATACCAAGGCATACTAAAGTCATCCCGAAGATGTATACTTAGCTGATTATTTAAAAAAATTTCAATTTTTTTTTTCGCTGATAGTCATTCTACTCTACAGTCTCATTTCAAGGTGAAAGGATTTTTATAGCTGTCAAATGGTAAAGATACCAGATCTACTTGTCGCCGTTTTTATCGATTTTGTCCCGATTTTTATATTTTGGTTCCTTTAAAGTTCTGCATCGTGAGTTCTCTTCCGCAGGTGCTGTTCTGTGCTCTATCAGAAGAACAAAAAACATTGTACAAAGATTTCCTTCGCAGTGACCGGGTTGAGAAGGTCTTAGAAAAAAGAAAAAACTGGTTTTCAGATGCAATGACTAGAGCGAATGCTCTGATCGCCATCAAGCTGCTTAGAGATATATGCAACCATCCTGATATTTATTTGAGGATAGAAGATGACACTGACGAACCGGCCGACATAAAAGACAGATTTGACTATAAAAGGTGGGCATTTGTAGTGTAGCTTTTTTTTTATATATAATTATCGGTTTTCTGTAAAAACCGAGCTATAACGTATAGAAGACTATCTAATGGACACATATTAAATGGATGCCGTACTGGTATTTTCTACTAAACACTGGCAACACTGCATCCGTCAACTTTGATTCAACTGTAAGATCATAGATGATAGTGCAAGACTGGTTGCCTATGCGTGCAGCTTGATGTAGGAAAAACTTCTTCGCGCGCGCTTAAGCTGTGAGCAAATTTGATAAAAAATACTTTTTGACGGACCAGTGGCGGATTTAAGGAAAAGGTCCGTTGGTAAATCATTTCCGAGTAATTCATATGATACGCCTGCGCATTAGAGTAATATTTTCGAACGGACATAACCTTAACGGGTATGACGTCCAATATAATCGGAAAGACAACAGACGTCGTTGATTTAAATTTATGTTTGAAATCGAGATCTTGGTTAATATTATAAAACTTCTCAATGCTTGGACCATTTCTGTTTTTGTAGTTTGGGCAATTGGTCATTTTTGGTACTCCTCCAACAACAGTGTAACTTCTCCCCGATTCCACGACATTATGAATAAACAATAACAATAAACGCTTCTTCGTACGAATCCAACAGGACCACACCCGCAAATGTTAAGTGAGGCTATGTTGTTGACGTTGACAGTTGATAATGACATGCACGGAAATAACCCTCTGCGCCGATTCACGCGCATATTCTATAGAACGGGTTTTATATTTTTACCATGAAAATTTTCACAAGAATTCTTTTAGGTGTAATACGGCATCAAAAATTTTCGGCATAATTATAACCATAATTTTCGGAGTAATTCTCTTGTCTGTAAAACGGCTCTTAGACAATTTAGATCACTATTGAAAATGCTTTATCAGTTGTCAGTATTTTAAACAAAAACATGTCCAGATAAAAAGTGTGTGTTCAATGAAGCCTCACACTCAAACTCACTGACAATTTTTTTAATGCATGGAGTATAATTTCTAATACAATTGTCCAAATGTTCATCTGTAAGTGGATTACGGTATTTGTTTTTAATGACTAAATAACGCTTTCACTTTCAAGGCAACACATGTATTACATAACAAACATACACACGCCGTTCAAAGTAATCGTGATCGTTCTCGAACAGATCGCTCACCGCAGTGTTGCCGCTGCTTGCGTTTATTATGAGAATTCAGAAAATTTACGGAACCTCCTCAAGATTTTTACACATTTTCAAAATATGTTGTGAGCCACTACGCCTTTGCGCGCCGGCGCTCGTGACTGGTAATTTGTAAAATTCCTGTTTATATTTGATCCACCCTCGTAAAATTGAGAGATTCATTCGTTTTTTTAAATTTGAAAACATCCTCATCCTGGGTAGTGAGATATTCAAAATCCTGCAACTTTTCACACTTTGAATCAGAAATTTAGTTTTGATAGTTTAGACGTGGATTTCGAAGATAAAGGGATATATTAATATTTCAGATCCGGTAAGATGGCAGTAGTTTCAACCTTGCTGCGGATCTGGAAACAGCAACGGCATAGGGTGCTTTTATTTGTACAGGGGTTGAAAACATTGCAGCTACTCCAATATTTTTTGATACAGCATGACTACAGTCATCTAAAGATGGACGGTTCAACATCTGTTGCGACTAGACAGTCTTTGATAGATCGTTTCAATAATGACTCCAAATACTTCGTGTTCCTGCTCACCACTAGAGTAGGGGGGTTGGGAATAAATTTAACAGGGGCAAATAGGGTAATCATATTCGATCCTGACTGGAATCCGGCTACAGACTCGCAAGCTAGAGAAAGAGCATGGAGAATTGGCCAATCCAAAGACGTGACTATTTATCGACTTCTTTCAGTTGGCACAATCGAAGAAAAAATATATCAGCGTCAGATTTTCAAGCAAATGCTGGGAAACAGGGTGCTTGTCAACCCGAGAGTCGACAAACAGTTTTTCCGAACGTCTGACTTGTTCGACTTATTTTCCTATAATGAGACTGAGATAGACCCTGAGACAGCCAATATATTTGACAAAGCCAAATGCGTTAAAGGAGTCATCAAATCTTGCAAAGAAGACGATTACAGCAAGATATTCTCTGAAGAAAAGATAGAAGAGATGAGAGAGAAGGCTCGTCAGATAGCCGCTCAGAATTTCCCTCAGGAAAAGCCAACCGCGTACCAAAAAGAAGTGGCTGAAGAAAGGGCAGAAAAACTTCAAGAAAAAGAGAAACTAAAAGCACTGTCTGCTCCAGATTTGGTTAAATTAAATCGAGAGAAAGCCAAGGCCAAAGAGGATCCATCTATAAACAGGGTAGATGACAAAGTAACTCCTGCAAGCTTTGGGGAGGCGCTCCGGTATGCTGAAGCCACCTCGCAGTTACACACTGAGCTTGTACAGGGAAAGAAAACACCGGACGTCGTGGCTGAGAAAAGCAGAGAATTAAAGTTGAAAGTAAAAATGAAAGAAACATACACCGAATCTTTCAGGAAGTATATGAAGCCGGATAAAAAGAAACTTACCAGGAAGAAAACTGGCGAGAAAGACTGTAAAGTGTATGTAGACAATTCGGGAGCAGTGGATGAAGTGAAAGTCGAGGGTTTGGTGAAGACCGAGATAAAGATCAGAAAGAAGCGAAAAGCTGGACCGACTGAGTCACAAGAAGATTACGTTTTGAGGAAGCTTTTGAGGAAAACGAGCGTCTCTGCAGTTTTGGAGCACGAAAGCGTGGTGCACGGCACCTCGACTAGTACGTTAAGACTTCAACTTGAAGCAGAGGAAAGCGCTAAGAAGTCGATGGAAGCTCTCAGGAGGGCTAGATTAGATAACTCTAAGTGGTCGATTTGATATTTTCATTACATTGAATTGAATTGAATTGGGGAATGCTATAAGTGCCTTGATTGGCCTGCAGTGGTAATAGAGTCCCCAAACGTTTTGTTGTGAAAGATTAAAAAAAATATTGACAGACTTGGGGTAACAAAGTCCTCTAAAATCCACCAACAAGTGCCAAAACCTGCGTTTTGTCTCGTTTTTCGGCCATAACATTTTTGTTATCAGTCGGATTTTTTTTGTAGGACCCATAAATACCTGAAAATCTTATAAGAAAAGTTTTTTCGTTCCTGTCATCACTTTCGATTGAATCCCAAAAAACACGTTTTCTCATTATTTGTTGTCGAATAAAAAGTTTGCTCACAAAAATTGGTGTATCCATTTTATGCGTCCATGTTTTAAATACCCCCTTGAACAACTTGCACCAATAAAACCAGAAATTTGCTAATATGATTAGACTAACAAGTATTTTTTGGGTGAAAGCCAAAGTTGTATTGTTGCAGCATTTTTGTATTTTGCGCTCTTCAATATTAGCAAATATGTACCTGAGTTTTATACAGTGTGGGTCAAAGTCACACATGGAAATTTAAAAGGGAAATGGCTTTGAACAGCACTGTATGTCGCCAGTTCTAACATTAGCCAGGCCTCTCCAACTGAGGTGCCACCCCCACCAGTGCAGCGCCGAGCACCGCCCGCATCACAGTGCTGCGGGGTGACTCCGTGAAGGTGGGGGAGGGATTAGGCAGCGGCATACGCATCGCGAAGAAGGTGTGCTAACCCAGGCCTCTCCTACTCGAGCACTTGGTGCGCTATGGTGCTGTTCCCCCTCCACCTCGACCGCACAGCCCTCGCGACAGAGAGAAACATATTAGCCGACTGTCTCTCGGGCGCGGGCCATTTCTTAATAGGACAAGACAAAGTGGACAGGTTTTTTAGCGTCCTAACATGCGTCTTTTTTTAAACGATGTCATTCAATACTGCATGGAAGAAGCCTATTTTTTGTAAATACTGATGGAAAAGCAAAATGTTTAATTTGTCACACGGTATTGAGGCCAGCCCTTCAAAGTTCTGAAGAGGTAATTATTAATTTGGTCGCAGTTGATTATTACTAATGGTGTCGTAATGCTAGTTATATTGTTGCTTTGAAAATCGCAAAAAGTGGGAGACCTTCCGTAATTTCAAAGCTATTATGAATGTAGTAATAACATGTGTCAACCAAGCAAGGTATCAACCACGGCAGTGAGAAGTATTTTTAAAAGACCTGGAAGCAACTTACGGTGGCATACCCTTTTATTGTGTTACGCGCTGGTTAAGCTGCGCAAAAGTGCTAAATTTTTTTTTGAAATCATTGACGACCTTGAGATGTTTATGCTAATGAGATTCTTACGACGCCATCTTCAGTGCTTTTCGAAACAGAACCGCCGCAGTTCCAAATGGAGCTGATTATGCGATGCGATCCTTAAGGATAGATACTACCACTACAATAGTAATTTAATTTCGTTTTATCAAGGTGTTAAGCAGCAAGATTTTTTCCAAAATTCTTGCACTGGTGTTGGAAACTTGCTCCATGTTCGGTACAACGTACTTCTGCGAGCTGATGTTTTCTTTAAAAACTAAAAACAGGTCTTTGTCGTCTGATGTGTCCTTAGAGGCGATACTCAGAATTGAGTTCCATTTTTCTAATGACTTGGTGACACTCAAAAATTTACTGTGGTATGAACACTGCACGTATTGTTGTGAAACTTTGAATTTAAGTTTACTAAAGAGTGAGGTTAAGATTCAGTACTGACGTTCGGTCCGCGCGGCCTACTATGTTTCTACAGGGTGACTTTGAAGTTGAGTCATTAATTTTCAGATAATGATTGTAGAAGGAAGATAAACCAAAATATGTGTGTAAAAATAAAAAAAAATGTTACCTTGTTTTATTTTGTAAAGACCCCCCCGTAAATAAGAATCATGTCCACAAGTTCAGCATTTTCGTAAACATGTGCCATTTTTGATTTCGTTTGAGCCACGCAACAGACACCACTATTCACTCACGCGTTACCGACTGACACTGACTGTATACAACTGAATAAAATAATTGTAAAAACATCGTTTCAAATTCTTTCGCTTTTTTGTTTCCGATGCGATGAACCGATAAGGCGGATTATATCCGTTGTTGCCAAACACGAGCACATAATATTATTATTGAGACAGGGCGGTACTCAAACTTCCAAAGGGCTATAACTTTGTTACTTTAATTTTACCAGAAAAATGGTAAAGGAAAAAACATTTCTTTTGATCAGATCTACTCACTGTTAAAATAAATGACTCAACTTCGAAGTCACCCTGTATATGCAAAACTTAAAAGACATCCCTCGTACACTGACGCACCCGCAAACGTGTGGATGTGTTCTCAAAAAACCAAACGTTTGTAGAGGTTTGGGGCGTGCATATGCAGCACTATATACACGAAACTAGTCAGGTCGGCTGTCTAAACTACGCCCACAAAAGATCATGATATTGTGTTCAAGTTTATATAAGTTTGCTGTAATATGTCTGTTCCGTGTTATGTAACGACGAACTGCTGCTAATAGTTTCTTGCGCTAGGTGTCGCCACCGTGGTCATTACGATAAAATTAGCTAAGATTCAAATTCTAACGACTCTTGTTGGAAATTGGGTTAATTCTTAATTGATGATTAATACCGTCCAATTTAGAGCGTCTTGCAAATGAGAACTGGCACATCCATGACTTACTCTTTAATTATTCGTACTTTATAAACAGTTTACAGTGTGATTAACGAGATAAGAAATTGTAAATAACTCTATTAACAGTCTTGAATATTTACAAACTTTGCATTAGCAAGTGCATGGCTAGTCGTAACAATAGGATTTATGTTTATTTACGGCTCAGTGTTTGAAGTTATCTTTTCCGCCACAGAACGCATTGTTTACTTTGTTGATTCAAGAGTAGGTACGCTCTTAAGGCATCAGAAACTGCAGAACGATACTAAAACACAACTCCCGTTTAGAAATTTCGGAAATAAACGAATTCAAAGAAGTTATTTGAATAATTTGGGTCCTCTATTGAGTATTTTTACGAAAAATGAAATCCACTCTCACACAAACCTTTAAATAGAAATACTTCTTTCCACTACTAGTCCAATCATATTAGACGAAAATACCTATGGTGTGCGAAAAATTTGTAAAGTCTGGTTTGGACGCATAAAATGGGTACGCCGATTTTTGTGGGAAACCTTTCGATTCGACAACAAAGAATGACAAAACGTGTTTTTTGGGGTTCAATCGAAAGTGTTGGCAGGAACGAAAAAACTCTTCATATAAGATTTTTAGGTACGTGTAGGTAATGCGACGATGGATTCGTACTTCTAAATAACCACAACAAAATTGCTTATCCCAAAACACCTGTTTTCCGGCAATCACTACTAGTTTATTGAGCAATGTACAGGGTTAGTTCAAACGGTAATTTATAACAAAATACACCAGTTTACCTTGCCGATATGAATCTCAAACCATTTCGGAAGATGGTCTGTGGTGAACCAAATGAAATAGCTGTTTTATTATTTTAATTACGCGATGTTAAAACTTGAGCGGTGATATGTGAAAATTATTTAAGAAAATCCTATTTCCAATGAGCTTACTAGCCTCCTAGACAGTAAAACTAAAAAATCCGACATTATCGTTTTTGAGAACAAAAGGTATGTTGTGTTGTTCGTCGACAAACTGAAGTAATTTGGAGATACAGTTATCAATATAGCTCTGACTATTCAAAGCTTCACTCTTCCCACAACAGGTTGGGATGCACCAGACAAGGATTTTATCTGCAAATTTCGCTTTATGTTTGTATCTAACATTCTAATGAAACACGTCCAATATTTTCTCGTCCAATCTTTTATCGAAGAAATAGGATGAAAAATTAACGTAAATACCGTTAGTACTGTCAGAGGAATAATTTCTGAAGATGCATTTTTTGTATTCATTTTTTCGGCTTACTACCCTAGCAGAGCCGAGGTTATTTTGTCGGTAGGTAGAAAAACCACATGCCACATATGCTAATCTGGCTAATAGGTAATTTAACCGTATGGTCGGCAGATTGGCAAAAATCTGAGCAGATGTGTGAGTGTGTTATGGTTCAGGTCCCCCTTGACCGGCGCAACGTACAGCTGTGTTCCTCCCCTCGTACACATTGGGCCTTAGGCCGATCTTGCAGCTTTCTTGAGACGTGGAGACTGGGGTGGAATACCTCCTGTATCCCTGCATTGTACCGTACCGAATTTACAGGGCGTGCGGGATGGACCTCATAAAGACACATCGTATTCTACCTGAAGATAGCCAACTATGTACTATATTCCGCGTTCAAAATGGTGCCTGAAAGATACTAGCAGACCATAAAAATGAATTTGAAAATCTGGTTTGAAATGGGCCGGAAATATCTGTTCTACTACTGTCTCATAGATGGTGCTGTGATCTTCGATTCTTTTTTGGCGCCTCTCTGATGCGAATGTCAGTTGGATATCATAAAAGATTGAAGATTCTAACGCCATCTATGGGACAGTAGCAGAATCAAACACTATACCTATGTTAAAAGTATATTTCTACTACTTTTTTATACTCCTTAGCCGTAAACACATAGTCTAGCTTTTTCCCAGCAGCTGCCGCTATTGACAAAACCGAATGAGTGCTAGGCGCTCCTTGTTAGACAAGGTACAGTACTGTGTGAACCTCCAGGTCTGTCGCCAGAGAGGAAGTCGTTGTTAGTCTTCTTTTCTCTAGCTCACCGGTAGAGATCGGCTTGTCGCTCAGAATTCCTGCATGTAGAGTGCTGTCATCAGCAAAACTGTAGATCGTATTGATCGTACAAGAAATTATGTCGTTGATATGTGAGAGGAACTATGTAGGAGTCAAGACCCATCCCCGCGGGGACACCCGCGTTGACGTTGACCCATCTGCAAAGCTTCTCTGGGAGGCTATAGAATTGAAGTTTGCATAAAAGGGCAGCACGCCACAGCTGATCGAACTTCATAAGAGTGTAGCTATATGCTCATATGTAGGCTACAGAGCCTAACCTTATCGAATTAGATCTGTAATTATCGCGTAGAGAGATATAGCTGTGACAATTGTCACGCATTATGTTAGTTATCATCAGGTTTTCAGTTCCATGTTTCATCAAACGGGTTTCTGCAATGCGTGTATTGCGCCTTAATGTTGTACGACCCTGTATGTCCGGATTGGTGCAGTGCACGGTAACAAATGTGCCCTAATCAGAAGGAACACGGCACGCGCGAATTTTTCTCCTTTCATTCTCGATCCCGTGCCAAAGCAACGAAACCCCTCGTCGTTTCCCAACTAGCTGTACAACCGTAGA